GAGTTTAGGCGTGACGTCAGCCAGGGCTTACCTCAGGTCAGGTATGACGTCATAGGGCATACCTTATATCAAAGTTTAGGTATGACGTCAGCAAAGGGCCCAACATAGGGCTTACCATAAGTCAGGGTTCAAGTGTGACGTCAACTAGGGGCATAACGTCATGAGCTGCACTTGGATGCAGTCCCCAACAGGCGCCGGGGCCAGGGGGGTTAAGGTAGGTCAGGTGTGACGTCACCATGACGGATTGCACCTCATCTGTGCACCCATTGTTACCCAAAAACAATACATGATGTAATTAGTCGGCACCATTGAGAGCCCGTACCGCACACCTGTACACCCATTGTTTTCACAAGAACAATAGATGACGTAATTTGTTGGCACCTTTAAGGGCTCGTAGCGCACCTATTGTTTTCCGAGAACAATAGACCCATTGTTCTAAGAACAATAGATGACGTCATTTGTCGGCAACTTTGAGGGCCCGTACCCGCCATACATATACTACTCAACTATTTTTACAAAATTCAACTTTTTTAACTAAACTTTTGAAAATGTTCCGGAAATACTGTGTCCTTAAAACATATGTCAAATCAAAGATTATGTTACGTACAATTAGTTAAAAAGAAAAAAATTTGTCCGAACACTTTATCTTCTACCGTAGTTAAAAACATGCTATGTTTGTGTTAAAATTTTCGATTTTATAATTTCAATTTTAATTTACTATAACTTTTTGAAAAATGTAGGGATCAACACAAATTTTTTATTCTAAATATGTTATATATACCTCTTTTATCCGACATACTATTTTTTTAAATCAGACAATTTCCTCTTATACAGAGGGCTTTAAAATATTGAATCATATGTATAAAAAGTAGAACTTTTGAAAATGTTTTCGGAAATACTGTGTATTTTATATATATGTTAAAAAAAAATATATATATTTATAAAATTAAAAAAAAGTAATTATTATATTTAATATTAATTATAATTAGTTATATGATTTTTATTATTAAATTATTCTCTTTAATTTTTATTAAATAATTTTCTCATTAATTGTTTCTCTTATTAATTATTAATTCTCCTATATAATTTTTATTTATGGTTTATTACGTAATATATTGTTGGAGATTCGAAAGCATAGATTAAATTGTACTTACCTTATGTCCTGTGTAATGCAATAATATTTCAAGTAATCCAATGTTGATTTTGGTATTAAACGCACTACGTATACGATTTACACTACACGTCATATATTCCATATAATTACTTAAAAGAACGATTCAAGATTTTAAATAATATAATTTAATTACACAAAGTTTACGACTGACCTTACTTGTAAAAGATCCTAAACACTCTATTTATTTTATTATAGATATAATTTTGTAATTTGTCCTTATTTAATTCTGTTATCTTCACAGAATACATTTTTTTTAAGAAAATATATTTTATTAGGAGATCGATACCAATATTTTTTAAATCTTCCTCTGTCCCGGCCAAAACAAGATTCAAAAATATTTATATCTATGTAAACATTTTATCAAGGCGGAATTGTGGTGGCCCAATGTGTCCCGGCGCTAGCGCCTTGAAAGGATGCGGCACAATAATCACCAAGACAAAAATTAAACACTAAAAATATATTTGCAAGTTTCTTTACGCTCTTCGCCAGCGCGATGCTCGTTAAAGTAATGCCATTAAGCTGAATGACTAGCTACCCAATAAGAAAAGCTCACAATAGATTTTTATTATTAAATAAGATTTAAAGTTGGATCAAAATTAATTAAAAAATCGACTAAGTCATAGAGAGTGAAATCTTAAGTAGAGTGTCGTAGATTTTGTGTCTTTTAAAATCGCCGAAAGAACTGGTTTAGACGTGGAAAAATGGATTTTTATAGTCTAAAGGGGATAGTCTAGCGATCCCTACCGTGATCCTGGAAGCTGAGGCTTTGTATTCTAATTGCTTAATTATAATGAGGGCCCTACGTGTAGGCGTCACTTAATAATCTCTACAATAAAAAGATTTTATCCCATAATTAAACGGTTATTTTGTATTTTAAATAAGAGAACCCTGTTTTGTTGATCTTGTATAATCATAATAAGTGACATACATGTACAAATGATAACATCATATAATATGTTAATATAAGTAATAATATAATATTACACGTGTTCATCGATATTGGTCGAGTGATTGCTCTTTTCGTTTTAGTGTCGTCGAACGGTTCCATGAAATGTCAAAAATCCCGATTCTGAGAAAACATTAAGGAGTAAAAATTTATTTAAATATTTTTCCAGTATTATAAATGAATCCACGATGATGAGTAAATCATCTAAAGTTGGTTAGGTTGTTATATAAAATAAAAACCACAGCAAGTGCATTAAATTCTAATTTTATAGATATAAAAAAGTAAAAAGTGAAATTTAATTAAAAAAAAAAAGTATTATTAACTTCGATGCGAAGTTGAGAAGGTATTAATTTTACTGTGCTTTTTTAGCTTCGATGTTAATTTTACCATGATGTGTTATTTTTTATGTCAAAAGATCACAAATCGTATCTAGTTGAAGACATTACCCTTAAAATTTGAAAAATTTTACCTCGTTCCCCGCAAATGGGGGAAATATCCAAAAAAATTACAAATTTAAAAATCGGTAAATTTTGTCATTTTTTTCACTTTTTTTCTTCAACTTCCATAACTTTTTCAAATATTAACAAATCAAAATAATATTTTTTTATATTGAAACCTTATGTAATTTCTTTTCATTTGTTATCATTTTTTTGAAAATCTAACACTTATTCTGCTCACTGGGGGATTTAAAATAGTAACTTTTTTACAAAAAATAACTTTTTCAACTTAATTTTTGAAAATGTTCCGGAAATACTGCGTCCTTTAAACATATATCAAATTAAAGCTTATTTTATGTACTATAAAATGAAAAAAAAAATTTGTCCCGACACCTTATCTACTATTTTTATTTAGAAATTTTATTTTTGTGTCTGTTACCACTTTCTCAGCTCTCACCGAACTGATTTCTCTCAACGATACGTCAAAATATCACAAATCGTATCTAGTCGAAAACATTACCCTCAAAAATTGAAAAAAGTTCCCTTGTATCTTGTAAACTGGTGAATTCCTAAAAAAATTACAAATTTAAAAATCGCTAATTTTCGAAATTTGTTTACTTAATACCGCCATAACTTTTTCAAAAATAACCAAATCAATAAAACATTTTTTTTAGATGCCTGATGTCTTTACCTATCATTTGGTATATATTTTTTATAAATCTGACCTTTTACCTGCCCACAAGGAGGGATTAAAAATGAAAACTTTTTGAATAAATTCCGATGACAATATTTATCATCGGCTAATTTTTGTCGCATCTGCAAAAACTCCTTTTGGGCAGTCACTGAACGATCGGTTATTGACGGGTCTCAAGTTGCAAAATGTTGACATTTTGCTTAGGTTTCGCACTCTGAAGTATGCATTCCTTGCTGACATTTGTAAAATTTACTGTCAGGTTTTAATGTGGCAAGATGATAGACGGTTTAAACATGTAGTGTGGCGGCCCTCTGCAACAGATCCTATACGGGATTATCAATTAAACACGATTATTTACGGGGTAAATTCAGCACAATTTCTTGCGTTACGAGTTCTTCGATAATTGACAGTAAACGACGCCTAGGGCTATCCTGACGTACAGCATGACGCGTCGCATTGCACCTCCGGCTTTACCGCTGGATGGCGACTGCGACACAGCTACCTCTCCTTGTCCGACAGGTCGCGCGACGCCAACCGGTCCGGCGATGCACCAATATATACATATTACTTTCTCAATTTCCTCCCGGGAACTTATGTTTGTTTTTCAAGTACTCCCCACGGACTGAATAATTTTAAAATATACTATCATTAATATCAATCACTGTGCTATTTGTTTATTTATTTGTTCCCAAATAAACCCATCTTAACCGTGACAACATCAAGCAAGCCCTTTGTGACCTCATGTATGTTGATATATGTACCAGCTGCAACACCATTGAATAGAAATTGAGGCTACAGTCGGATCTAATTTCATTCTTTCACGGGGGAGGATTTGCTTTAAAGAAATGGACTAGTAATATACCGGATATACCAAAGGACAACAGAGCAACGGAAAAAATGAGCTTCAATCAACATGATCCGGCTATGGTTAAGATATTGAGTTGGGCCTGGGTCACAGCTACCGATTTATGAGATTCACTATGATATTGAAATAGTAAAAGTACATACCTTGAGAAGTGTCTTGTCCATAATAGTTCGCATCTTCGATCCTTTAGGTTTTTTGGCACCGGGTTTGTGGGAGGTATCGGTGAAATCCACTAAATCTTTATTAGTCCGTACATTAGGAAATGCTGTGTTAACTTACAAGGAAATGAACACTCTAGTAATAAGGATTGAGGCTATATCTTATTCTTGACCACTGACGCCCATGTTTCGAGATCCCATGGATGTACAATGTCTCCCTCCAGGACATAACCCCCCATTAAAATGGAGTATCGGCAGAATTACCAAAATTTATCCGGGTCTAGATAATGTAGTTCGAACTGCAGATGTTTTGACAACCTACGACATTCTCAAGCGACCAGTCATTAAGTTAGTTGCTTTAATCATTGATTAAAATTTTATAACAATAGAATACTATAATACTATAATGAAACTATACTAGTCATCAACAAGGTGACCCTTGGGCTAATACCTATTTGATTTATTTATTTATTTTTATTTTGTACCATTGTAGTGTGTATCCAAATCATCTATGTTAGTTAATTATTTATGTTAAGCTCCATGACTTAGTTCATTCGGCCTTATTTTAGTGCCAATGACCAAGTTTTGAGGAATATTTATAAAATAAAAATATATATTATTATATAAATAAGAATTAATTCTTTAGTAATAATCAGTCGTTTTGTTTTCATTTAACAAGTATACATTATGTCAGTCACAATTTACAAAAAAATTATACTCAAGATATTTCATTAGAGCTTTTTATTATACAAATATATATTCTGAACAAACTCAACAAATACTGCTGCATTTTGTTAAAATTTATGTAACAGTGACTTAATCTAATTTTTTTAATGAAATAAATAATAATAAGTGATAAAATTTAATGTTGTCTATAACTGATGCTCTCAACGTTTGTTGTTGCTGAAAAAAAAAATATACAATTTAAATATTTAAGATAATTACTCAATAATTAATCACATTTTTTAGTAAATTTTCTTTATGATATAGGTTTAATATTTTAAAGGAAGCTCATGTTGTATAGCATAGGAAAACTTATACATATGGCGGAATGAAATGCATACATATTGTCATTTTAACCAAACTACTACACAGTCTATTTACAATCATACGTAGAATTTAATAATAAAAACTTTTTTTATTAAATTTATCTTTTAATGTTCTCTTTGGAAAGCTATGCATGTATTAAAGAAGATAGAAAAATCTACATATATCTGGGTACCTATCGAGATATAGTATGTTCTGATTGAACTATGTATTCCACCTATATAAAACTAATAAAATTTAATAATTAAAAATTTCACCAATATTTAGTTAATATTAACGAATTTTTTAATATAAGTACATAAGTATATAAGAATTTTTTATTTAATGAAATCATGGAAATTCCAGAATTTCAAAGTACTATTGTTTCTAAACCTATCAATTATTAAGTTTTAATGTGATTTGAGAAATATTATGTGCTGTACACATTTTAGAAGTTAGGAGTGTAGTGATGTTCCGTCAAAAAGGCGATGTTTTAAAAAAAGTATAATGACTTATTTAAAAATTTTTTGTGAAAAATCAGACATTGTTTACATATTACTCTACATATTAGGTAATGACTGTTTTTCACAATTTTATGTAAAGGAGGGGTAGTACGCTTAAAAGCCAAGGTATAAAGTGAGAAGTATCTTAAGATAGAATGTTCTAGTATCAAAATAAGACAATGCACATCCATTTTGTTTCGAAAACTTATTTTCCATCAGGAACTCATTTTATTAGACTAAATTGATTTGCAGAAGTACACAAATAAGTTCTTAAATGGTAATGAATGTAAATTATATTGAAAACCTGAATTCTCTATCATAGTTTATTCAACTATTGTTGTCTAACAGTTTTTAGCCTTGAAAAAAAATTGTTTTCCAGTCCCTCTCACTACTACCTAAATTTGACATTAGAAGATTTCTGGCTATTTTCTTTTATCGAAAAACCTACAAAGACTACTCATTATGGCGATTTGAAAAACATCTAGGGGTGATTCCAAAATGACACAAGTGCAGGAACAATGTATTTGATTTGAGGTATGAAGGTATGGTTATTCGAAAATATATTATGTAATTGAATAAAAGTTGTAGTTTAAAATGCTTGTTAATCTGAACAATCACAACTTCTATATAGCAAGAGTTTTCAGAGGAAATTTTATAAAACTATTTGAATATTAAAGATATGTTATTAATGTTTCATAGAGCAATTTTTATTATTTATCAGACTCACTTTCTAAATAAATAAAGAATAACACATTTAAAATTTTTAATATTTTATAAAGTTTTTAGTTAGGAGAAAAAAAAATGGTAAAATTCAGTGGAGTCATGACATAGTTGGGACAAGTATTGATGATATCTGGCAGTGATTAAAGTCACTGTCATAAGAAACGTTTCGATGCAAATCTTTAGGTAGTGTTTAATTCTAAAAAAGTTGTTTCATAATTACAAAAGCAACATTATCTCTTATTTCCTTAAATATAACCTGATTAATAGTTCTTAGATTTAATTTATGAATAATATTTTTTATAGTAATTAAATATAGTATGAAATTAATATTTAATAATTTAATATTGTAATTTTTACAGAGAAATAATAAAAAATTATGATAAAGTAGTGTATTTCGTTACTTCTATGACAACATATTTAAAAAATTAAAAGGCTTTATGAAATACTTTATACAAACTTTTTCATATAAATATAAACATTGGTCTACAAGGAAATTTCATTGAAATCAAATTTATACTTATATAAATCAACTTTTTATAGAGTTGTAGTAACACACAATAATAGAGTTAAAAAAATCCAGCACAGGGAGGTTGTGGCATAGTTGGATCAAGTATAATGATATCTAACAGTGATCAAAATCACTATAAAAAAAAAACCCTTCGATGCAAATCTTTAGATAGTGTTTAATTTTAAAAAATTGGTCGATTATTCCAAAAGCTACATGATTTGCTATTTCCTTATTTATATCCAAATTAAGATAAAGTATATCGAATGAAAAAGGGATTATTAAAAAATATTATTTTTCATAAAAAAGTTGTATTGATCCATACACTTTTCAATAAGTTATAGCTTTTTAAAGTAAAAAATGTAAAATATAAAATCGAGAACATTCACACAAAAATAGCATTCGGTAGCCATTTTCACTGTGAAGACAAAATAAAGTACATTACATTAGCTTTAATTTAAGACATAAATAAAAGTGTAAGACTTTCTGGAACACTTTCAAAAGTTAAATTGAAAAAGATAAATTTTTTGTGAGAAAGTTGTCATTTTAAATCTCCCCCTGTGGGCAGGTAAAGGGTCAGATTTATAAAAAATATAGACCAAATGAAAGGTAAAGACTTCATGCATCTATAAAAAAAGTTATGGCAGTTTTAAGTAAAAAAAATTTCGAAAATTAGCGATTTTTAAATTTGTAATTTTTTTGGAGGTATCCCCTTTTTAGGGGAATGAGGGAAATTTTTTCAATTTTTGAGGGTAATGTCTTCGACTAGATACGATTTGTGATCTTTTGACGTATCGTTGAAAGAAATAGATTTGATAAGAGCTGAGAAAAAGTGGTAACAAATACAAAAAAAAATGCATCTCAGCTTTGCATTGAAGCTAAAAAAAATTACAAAGATTTTAAAATAACATTTTAGAGTAAAGAATAACAAGTTCTTCTCAAAGTATGAATTCAGAATAGATTGAGAACTAAATATTACTTTATTTTAAATAAATTAAACATGATTTATAGCAGAGATTAGGAACCATATTTAAGAGATATCAGGTTTAAAATTATATATATTTTTTTTTAAACATAGAACTATATTTACCGGTTAGCTATTCTTTCAGCAGAAGCTGTTGATGAAATACGTGACATAGTATTAGTAGGCGGTGTTAATGCACGAACCAATTCAGCAATAAATTTGTCAGCGAGACCAGGGCCAGTACGTTCAGCTGTTTCAAATGCTGCTGAGAGTTCTGCTATTACTGATGTGTCTCTCTGTTGATGATACCTTTTTTGTAGCTTTAATAAAATATGTAATGTATAAATTAAAATTATGATAAAATGTGATCATAACAAAATAGTTTTAAACCTTACTTCAGTAATTATAGGTAATATGAGAACTGATAGTGATGGTGGTTGTGGAGGAATTGTAGTTGGTGGACGTGGAGCTGTATGTTTTCCATGCTATAAATAAAATTGTTGAAAAATAAGTGAAAATAAACTATATAAAAAAGATCAATAATTAGTAGTAAGATAATATATTTAGTTATTATGATGCTTACATTGGGATCAATTAGATGGTGTTGGTGCTTACTGGTAGGTGGAGATGGTACATCAATGCTGCCATTTTGTTTTTTTCTACTGTTGTTATTATTACCGCTAGTAGAGGAGACAGTGGTAGATGTAGCAGTAGTAGTCTTTATCAGAGAATTTGGGCCTCGAACAGTCATAATCCATGGTTCATCAAGTCCACCTCCATCATCTCTATATTTTATATTTATAACAATAATAAATTAATAAGAATAGGTTTCAGTATCTAATAAGCCTAATTTAAAAATATTTTGCCATCTCTATGAGAAAACATACATCTAATATTTTTACAATTTTTATTTTTTTTTTATTGAGCAATAAAGCATTATTACATTAAATTACTTCAATTACATTGATTTATAGCCTTTTAAACATTTAAAAATGTTTTTTTTTTGCTATTAGTTTATAATTTATTTACCAGGCGTATAAGCTTAATTCTGCTGTTTGGACAAAAGATAGGTTTTTGATATCTTCTTTTTCGGAAAAGAATCAATCAAGTAGTTTGATCTTAGTGTAGATAGGCTTTACAATCACACATTATGTGAAATGTGTCTTCTTTTTCTACTCCACAATGGTGATTCCAAGACACTCATTGCATAAAGATGTTTAAACAAGTGACCATGTCCTATCAGTAGACAGGTCAAAGTGCATATTTGATGTCTAGTCACACTATTAAAATCACCTAGCAGTAGACAGGGGGTTTTGTTAAACATTGTAGATTGTCTAGGTACTATCGAGTGACCCGGCAATGAGATGGACAAAAAGTGATGTGGCAGGGGAGCCTGCCTCTAAACCAGTGACATTAGTAGCTCCATGCGCACGAGGCCTGACTAAGGCAGCGCAGTTAGCACCGCCAGTAACCTGGTCAGTGGTTGTTAGGCGCAAGACCCCTAACACAGTGGCGGAATCTCGCCTTAACTCCGGCAGAGACTCGCGATAAAGGCAAAGGCTCTTTGAATTGAGGCCGTTATTATTGATCCCCTTTAAGAGGACCAAAAGTACTCGGCTATTATAAAAAGGGTCATGGGAGTCGTTGACCTTCAGGTGCTGGGCGTCGTGGTCTCTGGCACACGGAGAACAAAAACGGGGGCCGTTCTTCTCGAGGTTCGAGGAACGGGCAAACAGGCTGACCTACTACCCTGCAAGATTAGGGAGGCGCTGGACGGCACAGATGTCCATGCCGTTTATACTTTTGGACATGGAGGACGTTGTAGGGGCGTTAACCACTATCCTCTCAAAAGAGGAAGTCACTGCGCCCGCCAGCTTAGTGTTAGTCCGGCTGCACAGCAAGGGTCCGGCAAGGGCAGCTTCGCGTGGTGTGAATTGTCCATTAGGGCCGCGCAACCGCTGGTCGGGTTGACACGACTCTGGGTTAGTTAAAGTACTTATCAAATCCGGGTCCCAAAGGACAAGGGTCCACGTTGCTACAGATGTCTCGAGAGAGGGCACATGCAATTGGCCTGTAGAGGTCCCAACCAGACCGATGCATGCTTCTCATGCAGAGCAGAGGGCCACTGGGCCAGGGACTGCCCCAGGAAGGTGAGAGGGCTAGAGAAGTCTGCCTAAGGTGTTTCCTTTGTGTTCTTGTGAATTTTATGCCAATCCACAGCAAAGTCCTACCTCTACCTCCGTGTGGTACGACCTGGGCAACGGATCCCACTTTGGGATCCGGCTAACAGGAGAGCCACCTCTTGTTGTGACTCAGCTCTTGATTAATTTCGAGCTGAGTCACAATATGGCGGAGTGTGTTTTATCGCGACGTTGGTCGCCGTGAAGCAATATCTCACGGTAGTTCCAGAGCGGCTAACATTATGCTGACCGTAAGAAAAAAATAAGGTTCTATCGAGTACTTCCACATTTTTCTGTATTGTTCTCTGCATCAATTCTTAAGTAGTGTTTTGTTTGCACCTACCTTTCCAAATTTTTTGGATCCATCTGTATATATTACAAATCTTCCTTTCTCAGTCAGGTGATTAATATCCATTCTCTACATTTAATGATTTCAACTTTGTAAGGAATATTAATCTTAATAACCGGTTTGTTATAATCCAAGAGATATTCAAAAATGTCCTAATCTACCTCTTTTAGTATCTTACAGTGTTCTGCTGTATTGCTCTCTATAGTTCAGATACCTAAGTTATGGAATGTTTTATGCTGTGGCTATGGCGTGAGCGTTAATCGCTAGATGCAAATAAGGTTATTTGATAAATGCCTCTAATGCAACTGTTGGTGTAGTTCTTAATGCTCCAGTAATGGCTATGGCAGCCATTTTCTGTATACGACTAAATTTTTTTTCTGGCTGTAATAAGTGCTGTTCTGATTCAATAGACCAGGTTGGTTTAAAGATCACTTATTTTATACAGAGAGAGCAATATCTCTATATTCACATTTACATCTTGAATTAAAATTAAACAATATACTTAAAAAATTTTTTATTTTATATATTAGCACAAGTAATAATTTCATATTATATATCTTGAACTAGATTTTTAAAATTAAATAGTTAATTAAATAAAAATTGTGATATTAAAATTTGAAATAATATTACTAGTAGTTTCTAGAATAAATAACACTCACGCATCAGATCCATCTGATCCTCCTCCTCCACCACCATCTGGACCATCACTGTCGTCATCATCATCACTATCACCACCTCCTCGACCTCCACGCTGTGACTTCCATTTTTTATATCGATCAATTAAATCTACTAAGTACGCACTTTTTTTTGCTTTACGTACAAAAGGAAATTTTAATAACTCTTTGGCAGTTGGTCTCTATGAAATTACAAATAATGATTGTTAAAATTAAGTTTGACAAACAGAAATATGCCTTACATTTTCTGGATCTTTATTTAAACATGCTTCAACAAATTCTTTAAATGCTTTACTATAGTTTCCAGTTAATTGTGGTGGGTTATTTTTAGGAATGAGAAATAGTACACGCATTGGATGTAACTCTGAATTAGGAGGTTCACCTTTAGCTAGCTCAATTGCAGTAATACCCAGTGACCATATATCAGCCTGAAAAGTATGACAAAAAAAAATGTTTTATTTAAAATGAATACATCATAAGTAGAAACAAAAGATACCTTAGAGTCATAAGCAGATTGTTTAATAACTTCTGGTGCCATCCAAAATGGGGTTCCCACAAATGTATTTCGCTTACTTGTAGTATTAGTAAGCTGTCCAGCAACACCAAAATCAGCTAACTTAACATCACCTAGTTCACTAAGTAATACATTAGCAGCTAGAACAAGTATAAATTTTGAATAATTTAATATTTATTAAAAATAATTAATGGTATATAATTATACCTTTAATATCTCTATGTAGCTTGCGTTCACAGTGTAAGTAATCAAGACCTTTGAGTACTTCACGTAATATGATGGCAATGTGTTGTTCCTCAAATCCACCTGCTTTCATAAGATCAAGTGCACTACCCCCACCTAAATACTCCATAATAATCCACAATTTGGTACCCTTTAAAAAAAATTTAACATTAAATAAAATTTTTAACCATTAGATTTATTATTTAAAGCTATCATAGAAGATTTCATGTATATATTTAGGATAAATATTTATTTATAAAATACTTTATAATCATATGTACCGATAAACAAATTTATAAAATACACATTAATTTATAATGTATAATATAATAAAATTATATTCTGTTAAGTTTATGTAAAAATGTGTAGTTATCACCCCAGTTAAAATTTATGATTAAATTAAATATAATACTGAATAAGAAATTCTAATTTTTTTTAGGAATTTTTAATAAATATTTAAAGATATTTAAAAAATTTAATGATTAAATAAAATATCCAAAATACTAATAGGATTAATTTAGTGGGGAATTTGAAAATTAAGCTTTTTTTATCCATTTATTTAATTTTAATCATTAACAGGTTATTACTTGAAATTGTTCAATTCCTTTTCAATTTCATTCTGTAATATATAANACTTGAAATTGTTCAATTCCTTTTCAATTTCATTCTGTAATATATAATTTGGGATAATTAATCTATTAATAAATTCTATAATACTAAATGGCGTTAATGTATTTTAACTTAATATTATTCCAATAAAATTTCAAATATTTAATTATACAAAATAATATTTGTATTTAATTGTATATGAGAGTTAAAATAAAAATCTAGAAGAAAAATTATAAGTCCACATTAGTTAAGGTTTTTATTTTATTAAGGATAAAAGACTTTCAATACAAAAAATGAGTGATAGATAAATAATATTTCTTTCAATATAAATATTACAAAAATTATTTAATTTTTTTGTACTTTTAAGTATGATCCATAATACTTTGTCACATAGGCACTATCACATTGTGACAGAACCATAATTTCTTGTTGGATGTCCTCAATCTCATCTTCAGCTTCTTCTAAATCAATAGTTTTAATGGCAACTACCTGTTGAGTGCGATTGTCAATACCCTTAAATACTTCACCAAATGATCCCTTTCCTATACGTTCCTGTTTGGTGAAAATTAGCTCAGGATCGACTTTCTAAAAATTAAAAGTTAAATATTATATTAATGATTACTTGTTAAACAAAAAAGTTTGTACTTGGTTAAAGGACAACGACATTACGACGGTTTGTAATAATAATATATAAGTCTTAGTAGTAATAATTTTTAATAAGATTATCCGCTGCAGCGGATAGTTGGCTGCTGTAACATAGTTGACAGCAGCAGCAGTTGCAGCAATAATAAAAAACAATAGTAAATTTTATCCAATATTTTTAAAAATGTCGACGACACTATTTAATAATGAAAATGTTGCGATACTAAACAAAATTTCAATCCGTTGTGACGGTGGACGTTGGTGCTTAGTGGTACTAGTGATAGCTGATAGCGTTGGTAGTATGTGTTTACCTTCACTCAAATTTTGCCTCCGTATCAAAGGAACCTTGAGTAATTGCATACGTTTATAGTGATAACGCAACGGCGGCAGGTGGCTGTTCGTGATAAAATTCCCCCGTTGTTTATCATTTAAACATTCTTTATTTTTATAAAGTAAAATATTTGTCTTACGTTTTTTACTTTTAAGAAATCAATGTAATCTATTTAAGTTTTTTCTCTAGCATTTAACACATGTCACACGGTAACAAACATGGTTATGGCAGTGGCGGTGGTGGTTTTGTAAGAATATTTAATATATTATTACTATATTCATCCATAGTTTATACTTATAGTTGATTGATTTTTTAGCTCGACACCCTATTCGGGCGTCCTAAAAAACCATCACATACCTCTAGTGGAGGTGGCCATGATACATATGTACGTAGTGGTACACTTGGCTCCACTATTAGATCTATATCAGATAATGATCATCAATATGAAACTACAGGGGATGAAGATGTATATGTTGATGTTGAGCACTTGGATACTGATACACTCAATGATAAATTCGAGGAGATGCTGGTGAGATATTTTAAATTATTGTTTCACTTATAATATGCTTAAAGTTGATTGACAATGTTATTCATATTAATATTGTATAAAATAGAAATACACTTTAAATTTTTTGGCATGGGGAAAATACTAAAAAGTAATGCAGTTGCTGTGTACATTAGTCTAATCACCCCTGTATTATTATACCTTTTTTTTAAATATAAACAAAGTAGTATATTAGAAAAAACTCTTGATTAATCTGATCCTGTATTTATAAATGTATCTACGACTATAAGATGAACGAACATTTAAAACTAAAAATATTATGACTAGGAGCTAACTAGTAGGATAGTCTTATATCTAGATATTTTATGCTTGAATCTTTTAAAATACTACAAAAATGTTTTTCAGGGTATAAAATGAGCCCATAAAGACTTGTTTTCATTAGCCTTCAGGTGTCAGTGTGCACATAGTTGTGAAATTTAATTCAGAAGTCTGATGAAATTAATAAATTTATGTTTTAACAAATATTTGTTGTACCTTTTTTTTAATAAAATATCAATTGGAAGTTATTTTTAGGCATAACTTTTTTAAATTGTAAAATTACATTTTTATTGGTATAATACATTGGTCAATGTGGCTCAAAATAAGTGGAGAGATGTCCTCTATTTTTTATTACTCCATTATTATATTTAAGTACTAACTAAATGTTAAATAACATACAATAATGTTGGTCAATTTTAGTTATCGTAATTTTAAGAAAATATTATAAGTACTTAAAACAAATTTTTAATCCTACTATAATTATAGTACATTTACCACTGGTAAAAAATTTTATTATGCCATTTTCACCATTGAATAATTATGAATTACTTAAATTTATGACTGCCAAGTATTTTAAATTAAAAATATTATACAGTTATTTTTATCAATAATAATTGTATTTAATGAATTAATAATATTATTTAATGTGTGTTATGCTGCCCTTTTGGATCAACTAGTAAGTATACTGAATAGTACAATTCACTTGATGTAAAAACAAAAGTAAAATCAATTTGAAGTTGAGGTACCATCAATTTATTTAACTTTTATTGAAATTCAGGATGATATGAATCTTACTGAGGAAAAAAAAGAGCCTTTGCGACAACAATCTACTGCTAATAAACAAAAAATGTTATCCCTACATCTTTTAGGAGGTGGACCTGGAGGAGGTACTGCTAGTGGTGGTATTGCTCAATCAAGTGTAAGTATTGAACTTTATTAAACATTTAATTTTTACTTAATTTTATTTATAAAATCAACGATAATTCATATGAGTAGAGTATAATGAACTAATAATAATATAACAACCAGTAAATACTGGTTGTATTTGAAGTTAAACTGTGATTACTTCTGTTAACTTACATACGTACAGGTGATGGCTATAGAGTTTTATTGGTTATTATATTATATTTCTTAAATATGAAAGAAATTGAAAACTTATTGACTCTTAGGTGATAGAATTTGGTTCTATGAATTTATGATATATACAATAACATATTTTATATTTTAATAGTTATCATTGAACATTTTCAGGATGGTAAAAAAAATAAACTGGATAAACCAGCTGAATATATTCAATATTTGGCACAGCCTGATTTAAGTGCAAATAAAACTTACACGTGTGTTGTGTCATTGCGTATTGCTCTGACAAACCATCCATTAAGTTGGGTGAATGAGTTTGGTTCTGATGGGCTCAGGCAATTGTTGGCTGTTCTCAATGAATGTTACCGAAAGTGAGCATTATTGTTTTCTCTAAAATATAAGTAGGCACAGCGTCAAAAGTATTTCACTAAGGGGGCGAGAAGGGCAAGCACTTTTTTTAAGATTGTCCTTCAAGTACAATAATTTTACTTTTGTTTGTAAAAACAATTTTAATGATGAATTAAATAATAAATATAAAATACAAATTATATATGTATAAGTAACATTATATAATTAATAATATAGCCATATGAAAATATTCATCCAAAAAATAAAAAATTTTCTATTTTGAATTTTCTCTCTCCTATCATAGACACATACACTTAATTTTGGAAATAAAAAAAATTAAACTGAGTACTATAGAATTTTTAAAAGGATATACTGGTTGAATTACTGGGTAGACCTTTCTCATTATCTGAAAAATCTACAGTTTAGATTAGGGTCGAAACAAAGCACTGAAAGGGCTATAAATGACCTTCAGAATTGCTTTGTTTCAGCATACAAGAAAAACTGCTCTTTAATATAAAGGAAGGTATAAGACAGGGTAGCTTAGTAGAATGATGATAACCTGTCAAAATAAAAAAAGAGTTCTAGCAAACAAATCAATGAAATCAGATTTGGAACAACGTTGGAAATCCTAAAGAAAGGGCTAGAAAAGTTTTGTGGGTAATTATAACAACTACCCAGAGCTACTAGACTTTTACGTTCACATATAAAAGGACCAAACAAAACTGTCAAAGCAATATAATTAAATTAGAAACCATGCTTAATAATCACTTCATTTTGGTACAGTTCAATGAAACCAAGATAATTAAATATTAAACAAGGATACCACAAAGAGGGGTTCTTTCTTCCTTGAGTGTTCAAAAAACGAGAATTTTTAAATTTCATGAGTTTGGAGAGTCCTATTATCAAATTTTTTTTTATATATATATATATATAGTTGATATACATGTTCCTAAAGTATGATAAAATTTTCAGTTGGATTCATTTTTTACTTTGTCAATGACAGCCACTAAGGTTTAACCTATTTTTATGAGCTGGGCGATTTTTGTTTCTTAAAAAAAGTGGATCAAAGGATTTGTATTAAATTTTGCTTAAAAAATGAAATAAATTGTAGCAAAGTATGTGAAATGTTAACAAAGGCCTATGGTGAGTCTGCCATGAGTAAAACAAGGGTTTACGAGTGGTATAAGCGTTATGAACTATTGCTGAATAAGAAAAAAATGACTGGATTTGTGGCAAAACAATTCGTGGCTTTTGCACCAAAATAATGCACCTGCTCACACTTCATTGTTTGTTCATGAATTTTTGGCCAAAAACAATGCCCCAGCTTCTGTATTCGCCTGACAGCTCAGTGTGACTTTCTATTTCCAAAAATAAAGAAAACCTTAAACGGCTGATGTTTTACAAGTATAGATGACATTAAAAGCACATTGTTGAATGAGCTGAAGGCTATCCCAAAGATTGAGTTTGAGAAGTGTTTTGAGGATTGGAAGAAGCGTTAGCTCAAGTGCAAAATATCTATTAGGGACTTTTTTGAAGACGACAATAGTAATGTAGATGAATAAATAAATATTTTTTTCTTTTAAATGAAAATTCCCATTATTTTCTGAACACACCTGAAATAAATAAAATAAAGAGTTAAAAATATATTGTTATACATAAGTCTATACAGATCACTTAGCTATAGTAGTAGTAGGTAAATTTCTAGACACAATTATAGACTTAGCACAACAAAGACTAAATACTCTATACATAGAATGTAGTAAGTATATCCTAGCTGTTAATCCAAACAAAGCAGAAGACCATATACTTTACTTTTACCTATATAACTTTACTAGGAGAAGAACAGAACTGGGTCCCTTTAGATTAAATAGATAAGAAATTGGCGTTAAGTCAGGGAGAAATACTTAGGTATTATTCTAGACAATAAGCTAAGATAGAGATTACATATTGAGCAAATGACAAAAAAACAATACCTACTTTGTGGACATACAGCAACTAGAACTCTTGGAAAAACCTGGGGTCTTAAATCAAGAGTTATATATTTACTATACACTTCAGTGATTAAACCGATAATTTTGTATAGTACATTGGTCTGGTGGACCAGATCAACACTTATTACAGCCTAGAAAGAACTTGATGCATACAGAAACTGGCTGCCATAGCCTTTACTGAAGCAATAAGAACTACACCAACAATTGCATTTGAGGTACTAATTGTAATTGTACCTTTACACCTAGAGGTTAAAGTACTTGCCAAAACTATAGTATAAAGACTTCACAACTTAAGTATTTGGGTTATAAGATAGTGATACAGTAGAACATGGTAAAATAGTAAAAGAGATATACCAAAGTGTAATGAGATATCCCTCTAATTGTATCAAACCTATTCTGCAANTTGTGGACATACAGCAACTAGAACTCTTGGAAAAACCTGGGGTCTTAAATCAAGAGTTATATATTTACTATACACTTCAGTGATTAAACCGATAATTTTGTATAGTACATTGGTCTGGTGGACCAGATCAACACTTATTACAGCCTAGAAAGAACTTGATGCATACAGAAACTGGCTGCCATAGCCTTTACTGAAGCAATAAGAACTACACCAACAATTGCATTTGAGGTACTAATTGTAATTGTACCTTTACACCTAGAGGTTAAAGCACTTGCCAAAACTATAGTATAAAGACTTCACAACTTAAGTATTTGGGTTATAAGATAGTGATACCGTAGAACATGGTAAAATAGTAAAAGAGATATACCAAAGTGTAATGAGATATCCCTCTAATTGTATCAAACCTATTCTGCAAAATAATGTCTCCTATATAGATGTAATGAATAGAATAAAATTGATGGGATATAAATCACCTAACTAGAAAAGGAGTTTTGTAATCTATACAACAATGTAATACCCTCTAATAGCTTATACATACTATAGCGTATATAAGCTATTTAAGGTTTTTATTTTCTGTATAAAATCTTAATTTTTCATGAGTAGTAGTAAGTATATTTACTCTAATTATTACTCAAGAAAATAAAATTACATTTGACCTTTACTTTTCCCTTTATTAATCTGTATATATATTTTCGAATTTTTGTATATTTTTTAATATATAAAAATATTTCTTTAATTTATCCCTTGCCCTCCTTACGCACTTGGCTTATTTTATATATCATTGGGCTTGGTAATAGGAACATTTTTTTGGGACTAACTTAATTTTTAATTTTTTGGTACATAACATGTTATTAATTTTAAGTCTTCAAATGCTGTATTAAATAGCTTTTAATGATGTTTAGTGATAGGGGCAAGGGAAATGTTCAACAACAGCAGTTTGCACGTATTCAGTATGAATGCATTCGTTGTTTGAAAGTAATCATGAACAACACTGTAGGTTTGAAGCAAATGTTTGGGCACTGTGAAGCTCTCACTGTTGTAGCACGTTCATTAGATGCTCGTAAACCAGCTGTTATGTTAGAGGCATGCAAAGTTTTGGCTGCTGTTAGTTTAGTACCCCCAGATGGACATGAACGAGCACTTGAGGCTATTACTATGAGTCAAGAAATTAGTGGTGGTGGCGGTGATTCAGCAACTGATAACAGCTGTTGTTATTGTGGAGGTGCTCGAGCTAACCGTTTCCGTCCAATAGTACAAGGACTTCGTTCAGGCAATGAAGCTCTTAAAGTACATTTTTATTTTTTTTATTGTTTTTAATGACTAATTAAATTATTATAAATAATTTTTTTTTTCATAGGTAGCATGCTTGCAATTTATTAATGCCATTGTTAGTACACCAGATGATCTACATCATAGATGTGCTCTGCGGAATGAAATTGTTGGAGCAGCTGGCATGTGTGATGCACTTGATGTAAGCTGTAGATATCTAGGAGCAAATAGTTATTTAAAATTTATTTAATAACTTTTATAGGCTTTAGAAAAAGAAGCTAAAGGTGAAGATCTGGACAGGCAATTAAACATTTTTAATTCACATAAAGATGATGACCATGAGGCTCTAGCACAGAGATTTAATGGTGCTAGTGCTGATTATGATGATCCTTCAGATTGTTTTGAAGTACTACGAAATGCAGTTGCAGACACCCCTGCTGAACCACTTCTTCTTAGTATTTTGCAGCATATGTTGTTTATTCGTGATGATCCAGTTGTAAGGTATGAATTTAAAAATTCTCAGCTCAGTAAATCAGTTACTTCTAATGTGGTATTATTAATATTTTTAGACCTGCGTATTACCGACTTATTGAAGAGTGTGTTTCCCAAGTTGTTATGCACCGTAATGATCCTGACTTCCGAAGTGGACGGCGGTTTCATCTAGATGTACAACCTCTTATTGATACTCTAGTTGGTATGTGTTGAGTATAGACTGTTCTTTTTGTTGATTTATTTAAATAAATACCTTTTGATTTAAGACTGAAAACCTTAAAAACAAAATTAATGGCAATATAAAATTTATATTGCAATTATTCAACTCTTATATTTGATATAAGAAGTTGAATATAAAATATAAATAAATAAGCATTAGAGTGGATAAACCATTTGGTAGGTAGCCTATAATCAAAATTTAGGAATTATATTTACATGACATTCTATTAATGAGATTATTGTAGCCATAATATTTTCCATGAGATGTAATATGCAATTATATGCAGAATCTAATTGGTAAAATAAATTGTATCAATGAATTCTCTACAATTTTTATAAGGATTTGGTTGAAAAATTATTTATAAAATTATTGGGAATGTCAAATTTGATTATTTTATAATAAACACAAATTATAAGAATCTTTTTTAAACTTGCTCTAATATTTAAGTTTTACGAGCATGAAATGGGCTCCAAACTATTTAACTAATATTCTAGTATTGAACAAACTGAGGCACAATATTAAGGTTTTATGCAAAATTCATTTCTAAAATCTTTAGAGGATCTAATGATAAAATCTAAATTTCCAAGTTCTTTGTACAAATGTTATTATGGTAATAATATGATGTAGTCATGTACAGAATTAATTTATACTAATATCTGGCCAGGAAATTTATAAATACTTATATAACACTCTGAAAGTTTCTTTTTCCTTTTTCAAAATCAAATAGTATAATAAGTAAATTTATATTTATAGAGAGATCACGTGTTGATGAAAATAGGCGAGTAGAAGAACTTCGAGCAAAGTTGGAAGAAGCTGTTGCAACACGTCAAGAGGCGGAAGCTCGATTAGAAACTGTTTTAGCAGAACTCAAAAAACAAGATGTATTTTTTCATTTATATTTACCATTTTTCCAATTATTCATCTAAAAATTCTTTTTAATATTTTAGAATGATGGTAGCATTAAAACTTCATCAGTAATTGCCGCACAACAACAGAGATTGTTGGCGGCAGGAGGACCTCCACCTCCACCACCACCTCCACCACCTCCAATACCTGGTGGTGGAGCAGGACCACCACTTCCTCCACCTATGCCTGGTATGAATGTCCCTCCTCCACCACCTCCAATGCCTGGGACTGGTGGTGGTCCTCCCCCACCTCCACCCCTACCTGGTATGAGCGGACCGCCTCCTCCGCCACCACCTGGTGGTTTACCAGCTTTTGGAGCAATTCAAACAGCAACACTTCCACCTGGTTTGAAACCTAAGAAACGATGGAATGTAGATGGCCCAATAAAAAGAGCAAATTGGAAAACTGTTAGTATAAAATCAGAGTAGCTTAAGAATTATTTTCATGAATAATTTTTTTTTTTTCATAAATCAATTTTTTATAGGTAACTCCTACTAAACTAAGTGCTGGTTCATTTTGGACAGGAGTGCACGAAGATGAACTTGCTACAACTGAATTATTACAAGGTTTACAAGAAAGGTTTTCATCCAAACCTCCCTCATCTACAGGTACAGGAGCCACACTTCGTAATAATGGGGGAGAAGATCTCACAGAGAGGTAAAAAAATTTTCTTACTTTTTAATACTATTATTTTATTATTCTTATTCATAGTAAAGTTTCAATTATAGAGATCTTTATCTATGAATATTATTTTAAGAATGGAATTAAGTGTTTACAAGTGATTAAGTATGTTCATTTGATTGAAAGTGGTTATAATTATCGAGTTAGGGTTAACATTCAGTGGTAGTTTGTTGTGAAATACATTATTTGTGATTTATTCTGATACTAATAGACAGCATCACTATACTAATTAGAGACAATATTGAGTGAGAGAAAAACAAAGTTTGGACAGTATCTCTCTCCCTCTTATTAACCATTTTGTTTTCTGAATTTTCAGTTTAACACTGACTATTAGCTTATGAGATTCAGTGTGTATTATGCTTTATAACTTAACACAATTTTTGAAAGTTAGATTGTCTTCAAATAAAATTGGATCATTTTTTTTTTTTTTTAATAATTTGTAGTTTAGAATTCAAATTTTATGTTATATTATCCTAGACTTTTACTGTATTATTATTATGTAATAATAATAATAAATATTATTCTAGGTATTATTGTAGAATATGCATATTTTCTGCAATTATGGCTAATTTTAATATTATTCTAGAGGAACTAGAAACACTGCGAGATTGCCTAGGGTTCTTGATCAAAAAGCAGCTCAAAATCTATCTATTTTGTTGGGATCACTCAAGCATATGACCTATATAGATGTCAAACGAGCAGTATTTCGTTGTGATGGTGCTGTGCTAACAGCTAATGTGCTCGATCAGCTTGTGGCTTATCTACCACCACCAGACCAAATGAAACGTTTACGTGAACTTCTAGCCAGTGGAATGTGTCGTTATGATGAACTTGTTGAAGCTGAACAATTTGCTGTTACAGTAAGCTAGAGAAAATTAAATAAAAAAAAAAATGTCTAATATTATTCTTATTTAAGCCATTTACAATGAATTTTATTAATCTATATTTTTTATATTCCCAAAAGATTAAAAGATTAACCAGCAAAATTATTTTTTATTAAATTTTTAATAGATTGGCGAAGTAAAAAGATTGACACCTAGGTTACGCTCATTAGCATATAAACATCAACACCGAGATTTAGTAGAAGATGTAAAACCTGCAGTAGTGGCTGGCACAGCTGCTTGTGAGGAAGTACGATCAGCAAAACGGTTTGGTAAATTACTTGAGTTAGTATTGCTCATGGGTAATTACATGAATTCAGGAAGCCGAAATGGACAAGCATATGGTTTTGACATATCTTTTTTGCCCAAGGTAAAATAGGGTACTAGGTCGTTATTATTTATGTTTTACTACTATTTAATTATTTATTTTCATAATAGCTAACATCTATTAAAGATGTAGAAAATCGAGCTACTCTAGTGCATTATCTAGCTGATGTTGTGGAGCGTGAGCATCCTGATTGGTTAGCTTTTGGTGATGAGTTGACTCATTGTGATCGAGCAGCCCGTGTTAGTGTGGATGCAGTCAGAAAACAATTGCGAGCAATGGATGCTGGCGTTCGTAATGTTGAAGCAGATTTAGCAGCTTCTGCTAAGACACCTCCTTCTGATCATGACGAAGAGGATTTATTTGTTCAAGTTATGACTGTTGGTATCATATCATTATTACTATTTATTTTGCTTCTATGAAACAATGGTTATTTTTTGTAGCCATTTGCACGAGAAGCTAAAGCTGATGCAGAACTTCTCAGAAATATGTGTAATCGTATGCAGTCTGTTTACAACAAACTAGCAGAGTATCTTACATTTGATCCACAATCATACCCACCTGATGAACTCTTTGCTGACTTGAAAACATTCAAAGATGCATTTTATGTATGTTATAATGTTTGAATTTATATTTTAAATAATTGTGAAAATTATATGGATCATGTTTTTTTTTTAAATATTAGCATTTCCAAGGTGTTATATTTATTTTTTAATTAAAAACAATTTTGGCTACATAATTTAATAATTTCAAGAGAAAATATAATTTTAAAAATATGTATCTATATCAAGTACTGTTTTATAGGAGGCCCTTAAAGATAATCAAAAAAGACGAGATGCTGAGCAAAGAGCACGTAGAGCTAGAGATGCTCGTGAGGCTGCAGATCGTGAACGTAGAGATCGTGCAGCTGCTAGGCAGAGAAATGCAGCCATGGCTGCAAATGGGGGTGCAGGTTCACGGGCTGGAGTGCTTGTAGTTGACATGGATAAACCTCAAGAAGGAGTTATGGATAGCTTATTTGAAGCTCTCCAATCAGGGTCAGCATTTGCAAATAGCCGTGATCAACAGAGACGTCGCCGGAGAGGAGATGCATCCTCTAACTCTCGAGAAGGGAGCAAAAGCCAAGGTTTGTAAAATAAATCATTAAATTTGAAACAATTAAAACATTTTATAAATTAAATAAAAAAATGATTTTGCAGCTGGTAGAAGAACATATGCTGCAATGTATGATAGAGATCTACCTACACCAACAGCAATCAAATGACAAATGTCCTCTATATTAGTGCTATACTTCTTGTTTATTTTTCAAAGTAACAACAAAATCAATAAAATGTATCTTTAGCCATGTTTAACTACATCATTGGCTTTTATTTTTGTTTTATTATACTTGAAAACAAAAGTATTGAGAAAAGTATTTCTGGGGAAACCGTTATGATTATCTTATTATTCTTAGACTGGAAATCAGTTTGTTTTGTCTAACAGTTTTTCGTCAACTTACTACTGTTGTCACGAAGTTTAACTGGTAATCAAGTTGAACATTTGTATGAGAATATGTCAAAAGATAATACTTCAATGAACTAATGTCCATCAGTTAAAGTTTTAATTGGTTGTGCTGATAGAATTTGCTAACTATTATTAACTATATTAATTATTATTATTATTATTGACTATTGTATTTATATACCACTTATTATTATATTTACATATGTATAAATATATATGTTTATGTTATTATGTTAGACATCTTTGTCATATAGTCTACAGTTTTCCTTTTTTGAAGACAAATTTCTCGAGATAAAAAGATTATTTAAATTAAAATAAAAAACTACAATTTTATTTTCACAACCATATAATCATAATAGAAACAAAGTCGATATTAGAGATTAAAAGAAGAGAGGTTTGAATGTAACCAATTTTTAGTGATAAATTTTCTGTCTAGAAAACTTTTTGTGGACAAAAAATAAAAAGTCATTGGAATACTGTTTTTATTTTTACTATTTGTATCCAAAAAACCAATTACTCTTTTTATTAATAATAAAATTCATGAAATCATAGGCATATTTTGGCTGAGATCTTAAATTTGAAATTAGGAACTTTTTTTGTCTAAAAAAAGAAACTAAAATTAATTGACCATTTACTATATTTTTTTCAAAAGCCAACTACTAATGATTATTGTATTGAATTTACTTTTTTTTGCATTTACTATCCGTTAACTAATGTTTTTATACTTAATATTTTCAAAAGTGCGTTCCTGAACTTGTAGTGCCAGAATCCGGATAGCAATTTGATGAACTTTTATTTTTGATTAATACTTAAAAAAATAAATTTTGGCACTGCAAAAAATTTGTTTAATAACATAATTACCAATCTTGAGTATTAAAGTAATTTAAGTTACTCGTTAATGAAAGTATATTAGGTAATTAAATATTTTTTTTGTTTAGTAACTTATGAATAACTAAATTTAATTTAATTAGTAATTTTTATTTATTAACACTACTATAAAAAAATTATAGCTCTAAAAGTAGACCTATCATTTTTTATCGAAGCTAAAAAGCTTCGATGTGTAACAGAGAAGCTATTGGTTTGCCGTGTTTTTTTGTGTTGGTATACACAATTATTCCACTTTTGCTGAACGATACATCAAAAGATCACTAAACGTATCTAAATAAAGTTATCAGTGCCATGATTCTCAAAAATTCCCCTCAATTTCAGTAATTATATGTTCCAATAAATTATAGTTGTTATAAATAATCAAAGTTTTGGGTCATAAAAATCATATCAACACTTTCTTTTCAATTATCCAAAAAAATTATAGGAGTAATTTTGTAAACTTTGCATAGCAAAGGAATATTTATACTACTCTAAAACAATTAAATTTAAGATTTTTTTGTGTTCTACATGGTTAAAAAAAGGCAATGAGGGGCGGCCTGGGAAGAACAGTTGCGGTTCATAATTATATTTAATACTCTACGGTTCTGAAATCGTAATATTACTGAACTTTCCACATTTTATTTTCCTGAAATTAATACACATATTACCTGTGTATTATAACACAGGTAATATGTGTTATTAATTTTAATTTTAATTATGAAANCCACATTTTATTTTCCTGAAATTAATACACATATTACAACTTCATAACATTTTGTATAAATGATTTAATAAAATACAGTGATCTTTTAAGTTGGTGTAGTGTAATAACCAAAAGAAAATTATTAATAGTACCGTTAAAAATATATTTAGGTTAAAATAGGTTAGGGTTATTACTTAATAAATGTACTTAGTGTATTAAAACTACTCTTACCTGATATTCACTGATGATGATAGAATCTTGAAATAGACCCGTGGTTACTAAAAGTGTTGTTAAAATTATAGTAGGTATGTTATTGAAAGAGAATTGTATGTGATAAATAAAAGCGTATTTGTTACTATGAAAAGTGTTAATAATTTTGACAAATGTATGGTTTAAACTTAATGACGAAAGTAAATACTATAGACACTCAGTATAAAGAATATGCTAAAGTACGTAGGGAATAATCTTAAAGAGTTTAACTTGATAAATGAGATTGTCAATTGAGAATAAAATACAAGAAAGTGAATGAGTGACTGACTGGAAAAACAGCCTTTATATAATGCACTACAAACGGTATAAATAGGGAAGGAGTGTCTCGATTGTGTCATGCCTTTTCATAGACATATTGAGTCACCAATCTGTACTTTAATCAAGGCAAGACAGTTACTTTTTATTAACTTCCCTTATTTTATACTTTTGTGGTGCCTCGAAAACGCTGAGAAAGACAATGACTCATGGCTACTTTATAGTGGCCAAGGTCAGAATTATATGCGTAATAGTGTTAGCGTATTCTTTTCTGTGGTCTGAGAAATAAAAGAGGTATTGATTTTTTTTATATTCCAGAAAAGAATATTAAAGTAGGGATAATAATGGATGAGGAAATGAAAAGTAAAGTAGTAGAATTCGCTAGGAAAAGTGACAGGATTATAGTCGTAAAATTAATTTTCGAGGGAAGAGTGTTGAATGTAATAAATACCTATTTACCACAAGTAGGATGTGACGAAATAGACAAGGAAGTGTTTTGGAGGGAGATGAATGAGATGATGCAAGGAGTACCTGGCAATGAGGATGCGGTGATAGATGAAGATACGAATGGACATATAGGTAATGAGAGGAGAGGATATGAAAGAGTACATGGAGGGTATGGTTTTATTGGGAAGAATGAGGCTGGAAAAAGAATCTTAGATTTCGCAGTATCGTATGATCTTGCTGTGGTTAATACTTATTTTAGAAAGAGGGAAGAACACTATATAACTTATAAAAGTGGTAGTAATATATCATAGATTGATTATTTTATGTGGAAGAGAGAGAGCGTAAAGCGAGTAAAAGATTGTAAAGTAATACCAGGGGAGAGTATAACTACACAACATAGACTGATGGTAATGGAGTTGTGGTGTAGTGGCAAGAGAATAAACAAAAACAGAAAGAACACAGGAGAAAAATTGAGGATCCGGTGGTGGAAATTGAAAGGAGAAAATGAAAAAGAGTTTTTAAAGACGGTAAATGAGTAAATGTGTGGAATGTCGACGGCTGATGTGAGTGTAGTGATGTGGGTGATCGTGTCAAGTGGAAGTTTATGATGACCCCAAGTAGTTGGGATTAAGGCAAGGGAAAAAGAAGACTGTAATATTTTTACTTATTTTTTTTTGGCTTATTAATATTTTGGTGATCAGCGATCCAAAGGAAAATTTTAAGTAAGAAAAAAAAAATGATATCTGACAGCGATTAAAATCACTATTGTAGTAAACACTTCGATGCAAATCTGTAGATAGTGTTTAATTTTAAGAAGTTGGTGCTTTATACCATAAGCAACATGATCTCTTATTTCCTTATTGATATCCTGATAAATTTTATGATTTATAAGTGTAATATATGAATAAATATTTATTATAGCAATTATATATAGTATGAAATTGATATTTAATAATTTAGTGTTGTAATTTTTTACAAAAATCATATTTTTTTATTAACTTTGATGCCCGTTTTCACCATGAAGACAAAATAAAGTCAGAAAAATTGTTTTCATATTAAAGTATACTATTTAAGCTTTAATTTGATATATATATATATATACAAGTGTCAGTATTTCCGGAACATTTTCGAAAATTAAGTTGAAATAGTTCTTTTTTCTATACGCATTTCTAAGTTTTGAATCTCCCCTGTATAAAAGGAAATGGTCCGATTTAAATAGAAAGTATGTCACATAAAAGAAGTATATAAATAGTACTTATCATAAAAAAATTGTAATGATCTACACATTTTTCAAAATATTAAAAATGTCAAATATAAAATCGAGAATTTAAACACAAAAATAGCATACAATAGGCATTTTCACTGCGAAGACAAAATAAAGTCCGAAAATTTTTTTTCCCGTATTAAAGTATATTATATTAGCTTTAATTTCAAATACATATAAAAATTAACTTTGAAAAAGTTTTGAATCCCACCTATTGGCAGGTAAAGGGTCAGATTTATTTATAAAAATAAATATACAAAATATCCTCATGTATCTATAAAAAAAATTATATTGATTTAGTCATTTTTAAATAAATTATGGCCGTTTTAAGTAAAAAAAATTTAAAAGTTGTCAAAAATTAGCGATTTTTAAATTTGTAGTGTTTTTGGAGATTTTTTCTAAGTCTTTGGTAGCCACACAAAGAAACTGCTGTTACTTTTTTTTATTACATAATATGCCAACTCCTAGGTACTCATTCAACCACTCAATATATAAAATTTATCACGACGAAACACTGGGGCTTTATACAAATTTCCATCAACCTACCGATGAAATGCGAAAAACGATATTTTTTATTTTTTAATACTTACTATTATCTCTCCCACAAAAACAAATATTTACTCCAAGATTTTTTCAGAACGCTCACACATAATAATAATTTGTATAGAGTATAATTGATATACATTTTAATAGAGCTTTATAATTATGCTTATTTGTTTAATGATTTACTACAACAAAAAATGTTAATACGCTTAATAGATCATAGGCGAAACTTGAACAAAATGATTGGAGAATCCAACTTAATTCCTCCTATCCTTAAAAATATTTCTTTATAAATTAACATATAATTTTTATAACCTTTAGGATTGCTGCTATATAATAAAAATGGCCTAAGTATTCTCTTGACAATTCCAGCTTGCACCTATGTAACAGACACTTTTGAACATATAACAAGAATAAAAACTCAAATATTTATTTTAGAAATACAACATAATTATATTTTACATAAAAATATTTTTCAACAACAATTTTGAAATTAAAATTAATAATAATAATTGAATTCTTAATTGAAAATTGTTCCAAAAATAATAACAAAATTATCTTTGTATATTAAAATTTAATTAATTTTTTTTATTAAACTTATAAAAATTTAAAGGAAATAAGGAATGTTTGACATCAATATATAACCATATAATTTTTCAAAAATACTAAAAATGTTTTTTTCAATTACAAACATTACAAGTATTAAAATTATTAAATAATTATTTTTCAAAGTGAAGTAAAAGTATATGGGAATAACATTTTAACAAACTTAAAAATAATAGGTAAAATTGTAACAATAATTATACAAAATTATTTGTCTTATTCTTATTAAGTATACATTATGATATTTTAATTTTAAAATATTACATTATAATACATGATGGATAGAAAACAAAGATTTTATCTAGCATTCTAAATATTTTAATGATATTAATAATTAAGTAATTTAGAAAAAAAATATATGAAAAAAAAAGATATGACTCTATATCATATTATTAAATTTCTAAGGTAACATAACACAAACAAATAACAACATTACAAGTGAAGGACTAACTATGAGCGGAGATCAATCTAAATTATATTAATAAAAATATTAAATATATTAATCAATAGGTGAATTAGATTAAGTTTTATTTTATTTAAAATGAATATTAATCCTTTTTTATTATTCATTTATATTTGTAATAATAAAAGTTTGTTTACTATAGATTTAAAAATAACAATCTTTAATAAAACCATCAATCTGGGAATAAAAAAAATTCATTCAATTTTGTTTTATTAAAATTAAATAAATTAAAAGAATTAATCAAAAGTAATAATAATAATAATAATATGCATAAAAAACTTTTGATTTAAAACAAATTAAATTGGAGAAATAACAAAAATAAATGTTATAATTCTGAATTAAAAAAAATAATGCACATAATTTAAATTCGTCTTTACCTAACTACAAATTATTATTCTGTCAAAAAAAAGCAATATATATTTTTTCATAAAAAAATTTCTTACTAATGCACTTATCAAACCCAAAGTTCAACATTAAATAAAAGGATGATTAAGATCAATTAATAGTTATTTACAAAAATAATTACTGTTGTATTATTGAATCATTAAAAATTTAAAACTTTTCAATAAAATTTGTCAATTTGAGTATTAAAATTTTTACTAATGTAAGGAGAATACTTCTTTTATTTTAATCAATATGTTATTAGATAACAATACTATAAATCAGAATTTACATTCAATATAATTAACGCCTGATACTCAATTTAAGTTTTAAAAAATACCTAATTGTATTTTATACTAAATTACTAAGTACTTCATAAATTTGGTTAAGCTGGTAATAATAATAAACAAGTATAATCTAGAATAACAAGACAACTAAATTACAACTATTTAAACAAAAAAAAGTTTGAGACAAAATCTAGATTCCTAAAATTTAATTATTTAGTAAAATTGGACAGATGCTTATTGCACAAAGTTAAATGAATTTAACAAATTAGAAATAAAAAAATCACATTCAGTACTTACTTTAATGTACAATAGATTTACTAGCTAGGTATTGTATTTTCACCTTTTCTTAAAAAAACTAAGTAAGGTTTTTGAAGTACTTCAAGATCTGGTAAATTATCTAATAATTTTTGAGCTTCTAAGCTTATACCTGATTGTAATGACATTTTGAAATTTTCTACAGAACAACTGAATTTAGATCCTTCATTTGATACAATTGGTGTACTGATTGTTGATGCAACTGAATCTATTTCTTGAATAGACTCTGTTGGGACAACTGAATTTTCATTTTCTATTGAAGCATTTATTTTACAATTATCTATTTCTGTACATTCTGGTGATGCACTAAAAAATTTATCAAAATCATCTTCAAGATTATCATTTTTGATTATTTCTTCATTAATTAACTTTATAGCCTCTTGCTCTTTTTTATTTTGAGGTTCCACTATAAAAAACAAAAAAATATAAATAAAATAATCGTAACATTTAATATATCTACTGTTTATAGGTTAATTGTTGCTAGTGACATTTTAACCAAAACTTTCAAAATTATTTAATTTTAATTATTCATAAGTTCTTAACTTGTTAGAAAATGTTTAAAAAAAAAAAGAATTGTTGTTAAAAATTTTGCTTACGCCAATTAGCCTGCATACAGTTCATATACAATGTTATTTATTAAGTATATTACCTTAATTTTTTTCATAAAAATGTATAGATTAAAATTTAATTAATTTTTATAAACCATTTAAAATATCAACTTTATTGTAAGAAAAAGTTATTCATAAAGGCATATTTAAGGGGTAACTTTTGAAAGTTAAATGGGAATCTATTATAATTTTTTTTACTATTAAATAGAGAATGGTCAAAATAATGTTTTGACTGATCAATAACCAATATTGTATTATTACTGTTTGAGATTTCAACTATGAAATAATTTTTTTTTTTCAATAAACTTTATATTTTTATGAAAAAATTATTGGGGTAAGTATATAAGTAAGTATACTTTATAAATTACACTGTATATATATATATATATTTAACACAAACAAAATTCATTCCATTAAAATTAAAAAAAAAAATTAATTAGATTATTTTAAAAATAGATAAGATTTGTTCAAAATATAGTATAATTAAATTAAATAAAAATATAAGAAATAGATTGAAAACATGAAAACATATGGATGCAAAATAGTGAAAACCATAATAATACTTACGAGCATTTATACAGCATGGTGCAAGTTTATCAAGAAGTTCAAGATCAAGTAATGATGAGTGGTTACCTAATCAGCCCATAATAAATATATGTTAAGCTCCACCACCAAAAAATATTTATTTTTTATTTTTACCATAAAAAATTTTGATAAATAATTGAGGGTTATTTTCAAAAACGTAATACTACCTATTATGATTCGTCAATGACATAATTTTGGATATTAATATAGTACTGAATTTCAGCAATATTACATTGCACTATTGAAAAAAAAACTTATACAGAAATCGAAGAAAAAAATTAATCAATCATTGAATATTTTAATATTCATATTATATAAATAATTTCAAAAATTTAATTTAATATTTAAATGTTTTTACTATTTTTTTTATTTTCAAGAATACCGTTTAGTTACCATCGTTGTAAAAGTCAGACTATGATATACCAAACAAATCAGATAATAATATTAATGTAAATAAAATATAGATAATAGCTATATCTCTAAACGATAATTGAATCATCTTCCTCATTCATCTAATAGATTTCTTTTTTTTTTTTGCTTAATAATTTCACTTTACTTTTCAGATTTAGTTTCAACAAGTTGTTGTTGTATATCTTCTAATTCTGAATTATATTTCTAAAAATCTCCTCATACATTACTTTGTTTGTGTTTTGTTGAAAATAGGAATAATAATGTCATAATAATAAGTCTAATCTAAGAATAGAATTTTGTACCAATAAATATCATTTTTCGTTTTATATAAATTCTATATTTCATAATACATTTTGATACAAAAAATATTAACAAGATTATAATGAATTGCTTTTGACCTAATATTAAATTATATTTATTTTATAACAAAATGACAAAAATTCAAACAGTTTTTTTTATTAAAATTTATTTATTGATCATTGAGATATTTTAAAAATAATCAATATCGCAGGAAAAATGAAAAAAGTCTAAAATCTATATATCATAAGCTTTTAATATCTATCAATATTGAAGTAAAAGATTGATATCATTGACGAACCCTACTACCTATAAATCTTTAATTTTTAACAAAAACAATGAATGTATGTATTCTAGGATGATTAATTCCTTTAAATTTAGAGTACTAAGAACAATAAAAAACTGAACTATAGTAATGTTTAAAAGAATTAAGCTTTGTGTTTTGAAAATTATTACTAAAAAATTTAATTGTTAGTCATGTTTTCTAATTACTAACTTTATAACATAGTAAAAAATTCTTAAAAAAAAAATTACCTAGTTTATAGAAAGTAAGGATTAATTATGAGCCAATGATAAATATTTGTTAGAAAAAATATAAATATTACTTATTCTATCATTTAATTAAAGATTTCCAATTCTAGTTAATAAGTTTTTGTGGATTAAACACAAATTCCAAGATAAAAATGATAATAAACAGCTTAGTAGTTCTTGATTTAAATTGTTTGCTAATAACTAATAGTAAAGCATACTACTGTAATTATATTAGTTCATTAAGTGAATAATTACTATATTCCAACAGAAATAAATCAATATAAAAACAGAAATAAAATTTTTTACATTTTATGAGCCTTTAGAAATTCTTCATTTAAAAAACATCAAATAGAACAATAAAAATATTTTTATCATTTATATTACAATGATTCTATACAGAGTGATTCTGTTATTATGAATCAAATTTGCTCGCAGAAATTTTTTATAAGGGGGAAAGGGAAATATTTTTTGAAAGAATATTTTAGTGTACGCTATAAATTAAATATATTTATTATATTTTATATGTTACTTACAGTCTAATGGATTTACTAAGCCACTGCTTTTCCAATCAAACTCAGGGTCTGGTACAGTTTCCTTTATTATAAATAAGGTGTAATTTATTGATATTAGTATGTTACATTAGTAGAAATCGAGATTAAATTCACCTGCTGAGGACTTGTGGATATAGATGAAGGTATTTTAAAATCAGATGCATCATTACAAGCTTTTAATGGTTCTAATGGATTGTTAGACATGTTTGCAGCAAATCTAGGAACTTTTGTATTCCAAAGAGCCCCATATAACTGTTATAATAAAAAATATATTAAACCGTAAATATAGAATATAATACCAGAAAAATTAATTTTTAAATAAAATATACAGTGTTAGTTTAATCAATGTTACAAGTAGTAAGATGATATTCAGTAGGACCTAAAAATAGCAAACTCAAAAATTAAAATTTCCTTTTTCCAAATTTGGGGTTTTTCCAGATCCCCTCTTCAAATTTTATTTAAATAAAAAATAAACATTGCAACATTTTTTTTTTTTTAAATTCTCATACAAATTGAGAGGCTACTTGATTTTTTGTAAATTTAGTGCTCTCCCTTGAACTTAAGGTTCAAAATTGCAAAAAATTTCACTTATGAATGACCCATCAATTTGTATTGAAATTTTACTGGTAGTTCCATGATGTAGTTTATTTTTAATTTAAACGTGAAAAAATCAGAAAACCCATAGATAATGTGATTTAATTTTAGGAGTTTATTTTGTCATTTATTTTTTACCATTAAAACTATACTAAAATTATAATTTTTTTCTTTTTAAGTCAGGAAAATAAAACAATCACTAGATTGAATTGAATCTAATCAATTTTAAGATTCATCACAGGACTCATAGTAAAATTTCAATACAAATTGATGGATCATACTTAAGTGAAATTTTTTGAAACTTTGAAGTTCAGGGAAGAGTACTAAATTTACAAAAAATCGAGTAGCCTCTCAATTTGTATGAGAATTTCTTAGAAGACATTGGTGCGATATTTATTTTTTATTTAAATAAAATTTAAAATAGGAAAAACCCCAATTTTGGAAATAAGAAATTTTAATTTTTGACTTCGATATTTTGAAGTCCTACTAAATACTTTACTACTTGTGACATTGATTATACCAACACCTTGTAGAACATTTTTTTTTTTTTTAATAAAAATATACATAATCATAATTAAAATATGTTGCTTGTTTGTTTTAAGTTTAAGGAATCTTAAAATAACATTTTCATAACTTAAAGTGTAATAAAACATTTTAGGTATTTATAAATATATAAATATGCATTCTAAAAATAATTAACTCACAATATTCCTGGAATCAATTGAAAGAGATGACAAAAAAACATTATTTGATTCAGATTTAGACCAATTATAATCCAACGCTGGACTGGATTCTAAATCTTTAAGGCATTTCCAAACATAAGATTTGTTTATTTCATTATCTAAATTATGTATATCAACTATTTCCGATTTTGACTAAAAATATAAAATATTATTAGTTGAGATTCTTGTATAATAAAACTAAAACTCACATAATCTCCATGAAAAATATCTTTGCATATTTGATTGTAATCAAATAATGTACTAATGTAAATTGAACTTAAATCTAAATGGTCATTATCAACAATAGTACTACTAGACTCAAAATCACAAAAATCATCTACATTTTCAGCATCATTAAAAATGTGTGCGTTAAATTCATTTATTTTGTCACTCTTAGTTTCATAATTAGATTTTGAATAACAGTTTCCAAAATCCTTAAATTCATTATTACTTTCATTAATTAAACACATAGAGTTAGCTGAAACTGAACTGGTAGGACATGCATGAAAATCACAAAATTCATCAAATTCTTCATCATTTATATTAATTTTTAGGTTTTCTTCATCATTTACAGTGATTTTTAGGTTTTCTTCATAATTTTCTAATATAAGAACACTTTCATTACTACTTTGTTGATTTGAGTTATTTAAACTAACTGGTATATTTTCTGCTTGTTTAGTATTTTTAATCATATATAAACTATTTTTGTAATTTTCAGAAAATTCTGTTGTAGAGGGATTGACATCATTTTTTACTTCTAGACTAGTAAAATATAAATTGGGCTTACTTTCAACTTCTTTAAGATTCTGATTAGTTGAAGATAAATTGTTAATATTTAAAGGACCACTGTTTATATTACAACATTTAGCATTATTTGATTCAGGCTTGTTGTCAGAAGAAATTTTACAAGAATTTAAATCTATTTTTTCTATATTTCCATGTTGTATACTATTATTCAGCTGAGTATGTTCATCTTCTGAATGATTATTAACAATTGATTTGTTGATTTTACAATTTTGTGATGCAACTTCAGAATTTAATTTGAACTTACTATATTTTTCTTCTTGATTTTCTATATGTATGACCATTTGAACAGATTTATCATTATTGATATCATTGTATGAAGTTTCTGTACTAGAAAGATCCTTTAAAGAAAAAGTTTCACTATTATCCAAAAGAAATTTTAAATTTTCAGATTTTGTTTTTTTAGATTGCTCATTTGTTAAGACTTCATTCACTTTTAAAGAAATATTTCCATTAATATTTGTATCACTAGCTTCAGTTTGGTTTAAACTTGGCCTATGATTTGTAAAATTTGATGTATCGAGATAATTATCATTCATCAGATTGCCAGCTGGTACATTAGTCTCAAAATTTTTACTATTGTCAACCAATTTTCCACTTGATTCAGTATCAAAAGGTAAATCTGGAATCCACCTGCCATCAACTGGACCTAAGATTAATATAAGTTCAGAAATTTAATTAAAATTATTTATAACTTAAAAAAGAAAAAGACTTTTTGAAACTATCAAAAATTGTAAAAATATGTATTTTTATTTTATAATTGAAAAAAAAAAAAACAATACAGGTATAATTATTACTATTGAAAAAATATTAACTGAACATGGGAAAAAACACATAATTTGTACAACACAATTTTGTATTCCTTAACTTGGGAATATTATATTTTTCTTTGGAGCAGAGGTTGGCAATATTTGACACACAGTCCAAATATGGGCCCCAGAAGGTTAATAATTGACCCACCAAAATTATTTAGCATACGTTATTTTTATACTTAAAGTTTATAATTAATTTGAATGAATTTAATGATTGTTATTTGGTTTTTTAACCATATATATTAATTGCCTACTTTTGTTTAAAATAAGATAATGCAAGTATAAAATAATAATACATATAATATGTATATTATTATTATATATATACACATTTTAATTGAAATATTTTAAATATTAAGTATCATTAAAATTTCAAGATAACATTTATCTTAAAAATATTGAATTATTTACCAAAAGTTGAGAGTATAAATAAAAAAAAATAATTAATACTGGAAATACTACAATACTGTAATATTTCAATAATAATATAATAAATAATATTATAATATTATTTAAATCATGTAATTACTTAAACTAGATTCCGATGGAATTTCCATGGCCAAATGGGGGTAGTCATCTTCATCTTCATCCCAGTCTAATTTAGTAATAGGAGGGGGAGAAGCTGGAATTAAGGGTGGAATTGACATTCTTTTTTATGTCTTTATAACTATTTATCATTTGAATAAAACATATTTTACCAGATACATTTGGTAAAATGGTATAAAATTCTTTAAATTATTAAAATAGTATATAATGTACTATATTTATTAGAAATAACACTACGGATTCTTATCTAAAATTAAAAAAATACATTTTCCAAAAATGATTGACAAAGAAAAAAAAATTTAGAAGAAAAACAAATATAAAGATAGAAGCAATTAATCTACTTTTGGAGACGTATAGTAAAAAAAAATACTACTTATCATATTATGTACAGTTGTAATCTTTACGTGATAAAAAATATAATAATAACAATGGGTAGTGAACGTCATTAACATTTTTTTTATTGATAATATATATAGTTAAAACCATAACCGTTGTTGAATATTATAAATCGTTACCTTAGTGGTATATCTTACAACTAAATTTTTTGAGAATATGACTTTTCAGTGGAAAATTTGTTATTTCCTTACAATTTTGTTCTTTAGAGTTTATATAACAAAAGCGCTTGAAAAATGTTCTCTACAAATTTGAATTGAATGATGTAGAACATTTGACGGTTTTATGTAATTTGAATTATATTTAATTTTATCAAAAAGAAAGACATCGACTGTATTTTGTATAAGGAATTTACTTATACCGTAAAATCTCTAAGCTAAGATTTTAAGGGAATAGTGTGTACATTTTATATAAGTTATATATATATAATCTAATTTCTTATTAATGACGATACTGAAAGATTAATATAATATGAGTTCCGCGAGTTTCTGATATTATAAATGAGTACTAAAAGTATGATGTTTGAAGCCTTTTAATTAATTTTTTTAGTTTGATAATAGCTAGTGGCGTAGCCAGAGGGAGTCCAGGCCTTCCATTGATAACAATATTTATTTCTAAAATGAAATGACGACCGAAAAAATAAAAAGCTCCCAAATACCAAACTTAGTAGATTTTTGAAACAAAGCTTAACGGAGATTTATTTGGGTTGTAATTAAAAAAAATACTACTAGTCATAACATTTTATGGCTGAAGTAGGAGAACCATATCATAAAATTCACTGGAAATAGCAACACAAAATGTCTAACATGAAAATGTTAGTAGGGGTTATTTAAAGGACAAATAGGAGGAAAATGATAATTTTTAGAAGAAAACCGAGTGATCCCTCAATTTTTATGAGGGAAATACCAAACTGTCATTTATATTAATTTTTGGAGGCACCAGGGGGGTATTTAGCAAAAAAACCCAATTTGGAAGATAAAAAAAGGACACCCCTAATTACTCACTTTTGTATTTCTATGGTTCGAAAGAATTAAGACTGTACATTATATAGTGCATACACTATTTACAACAGCAAAGGATCTTACAAGTAGCCGATAGTATTTTAATTGATGAAGTTATAGAGAATAGTATTAATATTAAATAAAAAAAAATTTAAAAGAAATAGAATTGAACCTATAAGAAGTGGAAAGAAAAAGAAAAAGAGAACTCAACTTTACTTATAAAAAACTTTAATAAGTAATTCGTTTAAATACTAAATAATACATAAATACTATAAAAAAACAATAACGTTAATATAATTGTTAATTAGTTATAATTAGCTTACTGTCTTGATATTTTACAAGAATATTTTATTAATGGTAATAGATATATTTTGTACATATATTTTTAGTAAAATAAATATGTTGCTACATTTAAAAATATATATAAATATAACAACTTATTGAGATTTCTTAAAAATAAAATATTTGGTTATATTAAAGTTGATATATAGACATCTTAATAGATCATATCATATTTATACAAATCATGTAGTTATCGACTAGAATTGTGAATGTCATACGTTTCAACGGAGATATTATTTCCAAATATTTAACATTCAATTTATAAAAATGGAGTTTGAAACCCTATCCATTTATATTTATAATTATAGTTAAATTTAATTAAAAATTATTTTGCGTATTTCTTAATTGTTTTTTAGTTCACCCATCTAAAACCTGTTAAGATTTTCATCCCTCGTTCGTTAAAAATCAAAATCGCGGATTTTATTTTATTATGGGCCTTCCATTATGAAATTCTGGTAAAACCATTGATAATAGCAAATAAATCGTTAAATATCCATCTGAAGTCCAGTCACATGCGCTCCACTTAAGCTAAATATGAGGTATCGACGCTTTGATACAGGAAAAATATTTTTATACTTGGATAAAATTGTGTCATGAATGCTTTTGAAATAATTTTTTGATATAACCTAAAAATATTATTAATGAATCAAAATCATATAATTAATAAAGTGTTCAATAGTCGAGGAAATATTTCTGTCTTGCTATGCTGTTATCAGTGACTTAAAATTATTATCATGAGTCCTTGAAATAGATTATTGATCAAAATTGCGTTTTGTCTAAACACCTTACAAAATAATGATTTTTTTTATTAAGATTAGATTTAAATAAAAAAGTAAGAATGGCTAGATTTCTGATTTTGAAGATGTTGTGCGTTATTCACTCAAATGCTAAAATGAACTTTGAATTAGTTTCATTTTTTGATAATATTATTTTTAAATCAATAAGAACTTTTGTTTTAATATAAATGTAAGGCTCAATAAAGAAATGGAACAAGAGAAATATGTCACTATTGTACCTGTGGAGTATCCTCGACATAAACAACAGTTTATACGACCACCTGATGAGTATAGGTAATTAATAATAAATTTTTTCATTAATATTAATTGAAATTATTTATATATTCATAAAATTATATTGTTGCAGTGATTTTCCTCAAAAACGAAACTGGCCTCACTCAAGAACAGTTAAAACTGAGTCCGATACTAATTGCAGGAAAGATTTGAAAAGAACTTTTGAACATAAAAAGTTACATATTCAACCACAGAATGAATTAATTCCAATGTGCTCAAAAAAATTGTTGAGTGCTCCTCCAGGATTTCAGTCTGATTCTAAATCTTTGAAAAAACGTAATTTTTTTTTTTATATTTAGATAGTTTTTAAAAATATTTTATAGAAATATTTGATGTCTTGGTCTAATTCAGAGTGTTAGTTTTTCTATATGTATATTTTTGAATTTAAATTTAACTTTTGATATATCTACATATTTATTATTTTTATAAGGAAAAATAGTGTAAAATGGTGCCTAAATGATCCAAGTTTATAAATTGAATTATATTTTACTAGTTACATCTTCATTTATTATTTGTTCTTCCTAAATATTTTAATATAGATGAGACAATTGAATTTGACCAAGCCAAAACAATTTTAAAAATATTAGATATCTTTCTATTTATTCAATGAATTTTCTAATAAAATAAAAAGTAAGTTTATATTTTAGAAATAATATACAACATTTTCTTAACTTATATTTTATTATAAAATGTTCTTTTAATTGTTGCAGTAGTAATATGTTATTGATGCTTATTTTCAATCTGATATTGTATAACATTATTTTATTTATTCATAATTTTTAAAATATAGACTCATCAAATTGTATAAATGTAGAGATATCTGGATGTAAGATTTAAAATCTTCAATTTGCATATTAAATTATTTTTTTTATAGCAATGGGTGTTTATGTATACACTATGGCTGACATTGTTTTACATTTGGATTTAGAAGATGCCAATTCAACAACTATATCAGATCTTGTTGATATAATACTACTACATAAAAATCTGGGTTTGTCAAAAGTAGCTAAAAATGTTTTTACTATTTGGATGAAATCAAATGTTTTAGGTAATTATTTGAGTTGTATAGAATTAAGAGGTAACATATTACTTAATGACAAAAATAGAAACAAAGATTTAATTGCATAGATTATTAGGCTTCTTTAAAAGTTTTAATTATTATTATTATTATTTTGTGTATATTTTCAAAAGTTATATTTAATACAATTATATATGTTGTTTTTTAGAAATACAATTAAAACCATATCACAAATTGTTGGAAATTTATGAAAAATGGCCTATATTAGAAGAAAAATATTGCAATGAGCCTAATAAAATAGCTGTAGAGCCAATCTTATGTTTTCAAAGAAATGTATTTTTTCCTAGGAAAGAAGAAGAAAAAATCAAGTAAGATGCTAACATTTTATTGCTATGTTAATAAATGATTCTCAGTGTATTTTTATATGACATTAAATAAATTGAACAAATTAGTCTTATATTAATGATGTATATCTTAAAACGTTTTGATTTTTTACTTTATTAGATTATCAGTTAACTTTTTTAAAAGGAAACACAAACATAATTACCTTAAATTTAAGAAAATAATCTGATTATTTAAATAATTAGTCTATAACAATTTTTCAACTAGTAATTTGAAAGTTAATAACACTTTAAAGTATAGTCTGGATTAGGTAACATGTTTAGACATATACTTATTTTTTTGTGATTATTTTTATGAATTAGCTTTGTTTTATATTTTTCTACTAATTCAATTTTGCAGTATACTACTTTCTTTATTTTTGTATTTTAATAAAAATTACTAAGAATTTTCTTCAAAATTTTAGATTGATAATTTTGTTTACTAAAATATTTTATATTTTAAATTATATGTTACTTATTGTACTTAATAGTTTTTATATATTTGTTTAAAGAGATTCAAAGATTATTGAGTTACTATTTCATGAGGCAAAGTATAATGTTTTACAAGGCCGATATCCTGTTGAAATTAATCATTGTTTGATGCTAGCAAGTATTCAATGTAGAATAGAGTTAGGATCAAATAATTTACAACAATATACATCAAGTTTTTTCAAGTAATCATCATTTTTTGTTAGGTTGATATGATATAAATAAAATTTATTTCTTTGACTGAAGATATTGTAAAATTTTGTAAATTGAATTAATTTTATTTTAATGCAACATTTTATTTATAGAGACAACAAAGAAAGATTTTTACCATCACATTTATATAGAACATGGTCATCATGGTTTAGTTTAGATAGAAAAAATACACCTCATTCTAGGCTTGCTGAACATTTAAAACGTCTACAAATTACTGGATCAGATCGTAAACTATTTCATAAATATTTAGAATGTTGTTACATGCTTCCATTTTATGGGTAAGTTTTGTTGTGAACAATAGTAGTAATATAAATATTTTTTATTTCATTTAAAATATTGCCTCAATTGTCTTACTATGATTATTTCTAATCTTATTATACTATATTTTATATTGCCTAATAGTAAGAACTACGGCATAAAAAAATAAAACATTTTTTAGATGAGGCAAAATTAAACTGTTAATTCTATATAACTATATACTATAAACTACTGATAGTTTCATGTAAGACATTCTAGCAGAAACAATTATATCTAATTTTAATCATTTTTCTGTCTTGGGGTGAATTAAAATAATTGTAGATGATTGGGGTATTTGTAAATGCACATTTTTTAGATAAACGCAAACGTTTTTGTTTTGAACTTACATTTAATTTGATATCAACACAAATAAGAACATGACCTTTTTAATTTAAATAAAATCTGCTAAATATTTTAAGAAAAAAAATGGATGAATGAAAAAAAAAAGTTTATATATATATATCTAAAGCCGATAACTTAGTTAAACCTTTTGTATAAATTTAATATAAATTTTAGATATTTTTATGTAATATCTCATTCAAAAGCTGTATGTCATTTTGTGACCTACCAGAAAAACCTTTCTCAAAAAACATTGTTACAGAGAACAGACTTTTATGTTCAAAATCACACATGTACTTATTACATCTCCAATTTCATATTTCTAGTGTTTAAAAATTGATTGTTACATTTGTAGTTTCATTACTTAATTTACATATCTTGTATGTTTAATATTTATACAGAAGTGTACTACAAAGCACGAGGATGACCAAAATTGTAAAATTTGAAAACTAAGAATTGTATGATAATATTGATTTATTACTGTTCATATTAAATATTTTTTATTAAATACACAATTTTTTCTTAATTTAAATATTTTACTTTGTTTTAATGAGGCATTGAAATAAAGGAAAATTTAATATCCACTTTTTGAATATATCATTGTCAATATAATAACATCAACAATAATATAATACTTTTAATAATTTTTGTAAAAGAATATAAAATCCATATAAATTAAATTTATTTATTCATTTTTGCTTTAAAAATTATTATTTTTACTTTTCTCAAAAAAGTTCAAATAGTATTTATAATTTCATAATTTATTCTAGATGTGCATTTTTTCGTGGTCAAATTGAACAACCAGTAAGAGGTTTATTGTCTTTAATAAATCATAAAGATGTTCCAGTATATATTGCTATTAACACAGATGGTGTTTACATCTTGGATATTGTGGAAAATGTGATAATTTATATATGCATAAATTAAGAAAAAAATAATTAAGTATATAACATATTATATATTTGTTTTTTAGTGTTTATTGTTGGGCTTAAAATATCAAGACTTCTCTTGGGAATTCGCTAAACCATCTCAAGAAAATAATGAGCATTGCTTGCCTTGTATATTTTTGCAATTTTTAATTCTTGAAAATGGAGCAAGGGTTTCAAAAATTTTACAAGTGTTTTCTAAACAAGTACTATCTTATCATTTAGTTAAAATCATTTTAATTTAAATATACTTAATATATATATTTTTTAAATATGTTAGGCTGTTATGATGGATGCTTTAATTACATGTTTTGTGGAAGATTTTAGGCATAAACTAGCAATAAATGAGTATGATGATGTTGATAGAACTGGTGGATTTGAACACATATCTGTAGGCGATGGTAATATTGTTCAAATATTAAATTAACATTGTACATACAATGTTTTTTCTTTTAAGGTTCTCAAATACCTTTAGCTCATTTGTATCGCAGTGAACCACAATCAAGATTGTGCAATAAACTTAATAAGTTGACATTAGCTACATTTGATGAAGATGGTAAGATTTAATAATAATAAAATTATCTTATTCCTTAATTAAATCTTTTTGTTATTGTTCTTGATAATGTTTGAGGCATCTAAAGTAGAAAATGTCAATGTGAACATTTTTAAAAAAAATGTGGGTAGTTTTTTTTAAATTAAAAACATGTATACATACAATTTTTGACTTTAAAGCTACTGTCACACAGTAATAAATATAAAACCTTACATTTATTTTTTTCCTAGAATTTTTTTAAAAACTCATCAATTGATATACTTTACTCTGTTCTTCTATTTCATCTTAAAGGCTCTTTTTTTCATTACTCTATATTTTCAGTTCAATAATTTTGATATTATTCAGGGTACATTGAACTATTATTTTCAATGACATCTATGCATACATTTGTTTTGTAATATACTAGTTATTTTACTGAAATAAATTAGATGTATGAAAATAATTGAATGATCAAGTTTCTTCATTTTTGTCTAAGTAAATTTTAAATAAACTGTATTGTATGAAAAATATTAATTATTTATTTGTTTTAGGTCATTGTATAGGACAAATGGGTTCATGGTCATTCAGCTATTAATTTAAAAAAATGATCTCAATTAAACTTAATAGTTTACTAATGTATAATTAACAAATTTACATTATTTTATTATCTAATTAATAATTACTATAAGTATTTTTAAAATACTATAAAACAAAATTCATTTTTTACAAAAATAACTCATTTAATAGTAGCATTGTGATTAAAGAAATGTGCAGATTTTCATTTATATTATTAAGCATAAAAAAATTTCTTGTACAGTAAATTATTTGATTCAAATTCAAATTTATATGATTGTAATGATATTTTAGAATCTATAATTAATTATTTCCATAATTTTATTGAAAAATGTTAAACAATCATGTTTTTGGGCTTGTACTTTAAGCCTATAATGATATAATTTTTCTATATAATCATTATAAAATCATAGCTATCGTCTCTAAAGGATATTAAAAAATTACCTTTTTACTTAGGTTTGAAACATAAGACTATTTGGTGGTTATAAAGTTAAAATGGAGTTCCTGTGAATCTTCATTTTAACTTGACATATTAATAGGATATTATATTAGTTCAATCATATTGTATTATTTTCATACAAATTAAATGCTAGTTTTTTGTTCATATTAAAAACAAAATATTAATATATCAATTGTTTAAATACATAATTAATTAATAATTAATATGAATTGCTGATAAATATTATCAAGTATTTTAACTCCCATTTGAGAAAGTAAGAAGTTTGAAATTTTCTAAGTTAAAAGAATAATTGATAATCTATTTAAAAGTGATAAGTCACTATCTATATTTTTTTAAAGGAAGTTATGCTATGATATTAACTTGTTTTATTCCTACAGTTATGGACCAAACATCTTAAGTTATAAACTAGGTAAATAATTTTAGGGTTTTTAATTTTGTATAGCTAAATAATAATAAAATTATAATTCTTGCTTTCACTAAAAATAAGATAATAAAAAAGCCTCTTATTTTGCAAATACATACTCTGTTGGTTAAAGTGTGCAATTATTATTATTAATCATGTATATTGTTCACAATAAACATTTATATTATGAATATAAAAATAGCATTATTCTATTTTATAATTGATAGAGTTATATTAGATTACAGAATTAATTTGTTAATTATGGTTCAAAATTATCTTTATCATAAATATTTTTGAGGAAGTGCTCATCATTAAGACCTTCTCTATTTCTTGCAAGTTCAATAGCATAAAATTGTATCCTAATAACAATAAAACTGTTGATTTCAGAATAGTCTTCACGTACGTCTTTTCTTAATAAGGTTCCAAAATTATAATTTTCCATATTTTTATAAATTTCACTAAATCTTCGCCATTTCTAAGAAAATTATATTTATTCATGCAATATTATATATAAAAAAGTCAATTTATTAATACTTACTATTTTAGAAGCATCACTTTTGACTTCATCTTCATTAAGAATATCTAATTTTAGATCAGGAAATAAACGTCTAAACTCTTTATAAATTTTGTCATCATATGGAGTCAATCGAAGTAGTTTAGGATCCACGGAACAAATCAACTAGTAAAGAATAGAAATAGTATTTAAATGAATTAAAAGTAACAGATGACCAATAGACTTTTAAATTAAATAATTGTAGTTAATACATTTATATTATTTGAAAATTCAGTTTAAAAGAATAATTTAGTCAAGTGTTTAAGATAAAACTTCATTTAGATTGGTATAAAGAAAAATGTAACAATTTTATTTATACCTGTTATATCTGTTTTGATATTTTAAATTATAAGTAGACTAAAATATTTTTAACTTCATTAAAGTTAATGATGTTCTATTAATTAAAGACCAAAAATTCTTATTATTAATTCTAAACTAATAAAAATTAAGAATGTTTTAATTTTAATATTTTAGTTATACATTATATTGAATAAAAATGTATCTAAGTAATTAAGTTATTGTATTATGACATTAATTAACTGAAATTAAATATATAAAAGAGTAAGGAAATCTAGCAATTATTCTTATATATAACATACATTAAAATATACTTCTGCATGTTCAAATGCTTTTACTGCCCACAACATTTCAACTTTTTCCTAAAAAAAAAAAAAAAAAATTAATGACTTAACTTATATTTAAAAGTGCTAATCTTACATCATTTCCATATTCATCAGCTGATCTAGACAGTAAATCTGCTCCCATAGACAATTCAGCTGCTCCCTAAAAATTTAATTATTAACAAAAAGAGTTTAATGGTCAATCTAAAATATAGAATTTTTTTTTATTTAAATAAAATTTCCTAGACAAATCATCAAAATTTATTGATGATTAACATTTTTTTTTTCACATGCATGGTAAAAGCTATTATTATACATTAGTTAAAAGTTATAATAATAATAAAAATAATACATAGTTTTAATACCAATTTTCGATATATTAATATATTTTTTTTTATATGAAATTGTATAAAAATTGTCTTTATAGTAGAATGTATGTATGTTTTTCGCCGAGTTTGTAATTAAATGAGGAATCCTCCTCATTATGAATAAATCATGAAAGGTTAGAATTAATCCAGAGGGCTATCAAATGAATTTTTCTAGAATGTGTTCAAGGCCTTAATAATCTACTTATCCCAACCCCATACTGGTGCAGCATAATGAAGAAGAGAACAAAGGAGTTGTTTGTTAATTAATAAGAACAGTTCCAATATAAACTTGTTTGTCAATTAATTAAGGAATGTATTAATTTTAAATGCTGATAACTTTGCTGCAGTTTCGATGTAATAAGTTACTTCATGTTAATTTTCTATAAAGAGTAATACTTAGGTATTTTATTTTAAGTGTTCATGAAATATTTTTACCATTAATATTTAAAGTAGAAGGGGTTTTAGGTCTTTTAAGTGTAAATAACATTGCTATGCTCTAAAATAGGTTGAATAAAATTTTCCATTTTTACCCAGTCATAAATATTTGTGAACTGAGCTTGTAAATTATTAGTGATAATGTTAATATCTTTTGCCCTTATGTATATTGTACTGTCAACTACATACTGGACAATTTTAGTGTTAGGTGAAGTAGGGAAGTCTGAGATATATAGGATAAACAGTATTAGAGAAATTTTTAATTCTTGATATACACCTAATTTAATTCGTTTTATTTCTGAAGTAGACTTATTTATTTTAACCACAAAAGAATGAGAATAGAGAAAAGATTTTGTTAAATAAATGTTGAAGTAGGTGTGTTAATATTTTTTGATATATATCACACTTTGTCAAATGCCGTAGCATGATAGTTATTATTCCATTCAACAGAAAAGTATATTATAAGTAATAAAGTGTTAAATAATATGGTTATACATAAGTGATGGCTATTTAGGGAGTTGCTTTAAAATTGAATGACTTATTAGATCATGACCTGGAGGTTTTTTTTGGTTTTTTCTTAGTTATTTCAATTATTTCATTATGATTTGTATTTGACAGTATATTATTTGGCCTTCTGTCTTCTTCTTTTAGATTACTCGATTGGTAAAACTATCATCTATCGAGTTAGTAATAAAAGTGTTTTTTAATGTCTTGGTAAATAGTTGACACATTTCTTGATCTAAGTTAAGATATTTACTATTATTTATTTTTAAATGAGGGATTGAATTATAATTCAATTTAAAGTCTCCTGGTCATCAGCCACGAATTGAAATCAGCTGAGTGGGTAGTAGATAAATAGTTTTAGTATGATCTTATTGTAACTTTTTTTAGTTTTAACTTGACTTTTTAAGTTAACGAGAAAATATAGATTAAAATAAACAAAATATGAAACATTTAGTCAATGATACTGTAGTAATTTTTAATGGTCAAAATATATGATATTACAAAATATTTGTTTGATACACATGAAATTTTATAACTATATTATTAAAGTATATTGTTAAGAGTAATTTAGCACAATTAAATGCTAGTATATAACACTTACCACACCATTAGCAACTGTTAATTGTTCCATTTTTCTGAAATTTATAAAATGTTGAAAAATTATTCTTTATATAATATTTTTATATTAATAAAAAATGTATTCAAACATAATTGAAAACGTATTGTAATATTAACTGTTCAACTAAACAAAACACGAGATTGATAAGCCACGAGTATTTTAGTTACGGACTGTAACTGTTTAACTGATAACAAAACTAGATATTAATACGTTAAAAATTATTTTGTGGTATTACAACTTGTACTAATTACAATATTTCTAGATTTTACGAGGCTCTTGTGTAAGAAGTGATGGAATGGAGGTGGCATAGATTTCCCAATTAAAATGTTAACATGGTGAAGATACTATTTTTTTGTTTAATAAGCTTAATAAAAATTTTTCTTGAAAAAAAATCCTTAACTACGCCACCGTTATGTACGAGGCCTAATGAAATGCATAGCTCGAGCACGTGTCTTGTTAACTACGACCTTGCGCCGGCATAATCATAATCATAGATAGTGGCGGCTCGTGGCTTGGACGATGAGACGATCGCACCCCCTGCTGAAATTAATTAAAGAAGAAAATTGATTGCATATTCTTAATTCTACATTATTATTAAAAATACAAATTTTAACACATTTGTCGTGTGCAAACATAATAGTTGTTTCTCTCAGTATATGAGGGTATGCATGTACACGCGAGCAGTGTTAGGACAACCGACAGCGTCGTCAGAACAATATTTAGAAATGTATATTAAAACGAGGCGCCGATTCTTGTGAGTGTGGGTTCGGTTAAGCTGCGATCTTATGTACGGGTTTTGGACGACCGGCAGCGTCGTTCATGCAGTTAAATATTGGTATATTATTATATTGGTAATTTATTTTTAGAATTAACTATATGTACGCTCGTCGTTATCGGTTGATCTAACAGTATAATCGTTATTATTAATATTTTCATTTATATTTTCTACTGCGACCTTTAAAATAATAATGTGTTTTATTTTATGATATTTAATTTTTTATACATATAATTAGCAGTATTATATTTTAAGTCGCACCCCTACCACCATAATCTACGAGCCACCACTCATCATAGACATAGTATTAAAGCATGTAATACTTATGTGGGCCATCTTTTATCGACCTTTGACTGAAGTCCTCAAAAGCAAAAAGTCGTATCTTCTTGTATAAAAGATTTAAAATCGTTTACCCGGTCATAACAGTTCTTATACATTTATAAGATATTAAAGTTAAAATTTCTCTAGTACGTTTAAACGATCTTGTCTACTATATTTCAGTTCATAATTATATTAGTATTATTTCACATTGATCCTATTGCATATTAATAATAGTTATAATAACAAGGTTGAATTAAAAAACTAAATATTTTTTAAATGTGATTTGAAAACTGTAGAGATAATTAATTTGACTTTTGAATGTCACATTTATGTACACCATTAATTCTACTAGGACTGCAAAATACTTAGTTCTTTACTTGTTATCAATTAAGCCCTTAAAAGATTTATTAAAATAATAATTTCTGTGTTTTTGTTTTGATGTTTTAATTATTAATAAAACAATATTACACTTTAATATAAAGCAAATTGATTCTTTTCCTATTATCAATTATATCAATGATATTAAGTATTTAAGATGCGTAAGCACTTATAAGTACTTTATTTTATTTACAAATGATTATCATTACTATTTAACATGATTATTAGTCCAAAAAATACTTTGAGACAACATAATAAGCTATTTAAATTCATTCATAACGGATGTTTTTGAGCACTAATATTTGTTTATTTCTCAACTTAATGGCTGACTTAATTTTGTATCATACCTAACACTTAGATTATATTTATATAGTACTTGATTTACTTCAAATAATCGTTGATAAGTAAATAAAAGGAAATTTTTTGTTGGTTAAAGATTATTGTTTTGTTATTTCAGTTCATTAATCTTTTGCAATCATTAATATAAATAAAAATTGGATTTATATAAAAATTGTAGAGTATGATTGATAGCGTTCAAATTAATACGTATACATTTGTATTTTTTTCAGCTTTTTTTAAAAATGATTAAATTTATAATATTATCAGGCACGATTCTCTTTTGTGTCTACTTGACTGAACAAGTACATTTTCTTCAACCTGAATACATAAACAAAATCAATAATGAAGCAATTACATGGCAGGTATTGAATTTTTTATCATTTTATAAATTTATTAAAAAACATTTTACAACATTTTTTCCATAAAAATTTGAATTTACCAATATAAGTGAACATGAATTATAATTAATCGAGTAATTCGTTTATTTGGTCGAAATTGTTAAAGTTAACTAATCATAAATTTTGAGCATTTATTAAATTATAATATAGTATAAGAAAAATTAATTACAGGCTGGTCAAAATTTCCATCCAGATACTCCACTGGAATATTTTAAACGTTTGTTAGGATCTAGAGGAGTTGGAGGACCAAAGGAGAATGACCCGGTTAAGTCACATGATCCTAAGTACAGTAGCTGCCACCATATTCCAAAAGAGTTTGATGCTCGAAAGAAGTGGAAACAATGTAAAAGCATTGGAACAATTCGTGATCAAGGAAATTGTGTGTCTGGTTGGGTTTGTATCAATATTATTATATCTCAAAATAAAATAAATTGAATAATAGGTCTTTTGTAGGCATTAAGTACTACCAGTGCTTTTTCAGACAGATTATGTATTGCTACAAACTATGAATTCAACGAAATGCTGTCAGCTGAAGAATTAATATATTGTTGTAAGGATTGTGGCTTTACTTGCTTCATTGGTCGTCCTATCAAAGCTTGGGAACATTTTAAATGGCATGGAATTGTTACTGGAGGTGCTTATAATAGTAGTGAGGTAATGTAATTTGTAATTTAGTACTAAAGTATAACTCTTCAATGGGAAGCTCAGATTATATTGGTTTTACCATGATATGCAATTTTTGTGTCTATTTTAAGTATATTGTTAAAATTCTTAGCTCTTACTTCTCCGAATTTGTTGATCTATATATTAAAAGAACCCAATTTCTGACTATTTAAACTTATCAGTGTCAAAATTTTGTAAAAACTCCTTGATTTGTAGAAATTTAAAAAATATCCCAAGATTATGTTGCCATCGAATATAGCATTTTCAAAAAATTTTCCTGTATTTTAAAGCTGCTAAATCACACAAATTATTATAATAATGCAATTCAAACTTTATCTTTTGTGAATAGTGTTTACATTTTTCTTCAAATCTCAAATTTACACTAATTATTTCATAATTAGGTTTTTATAATCTAATTTAGAGAATTTAAGTGAAAAGCATGATAAAATGAGAAAATAGTCATAACTTTTTGAAAAATGCATGGATCATGTTAGTACTTATACAAATCCCTTTTATCCACAACATTATTTAAATCAAAACTTTTGAAATACTGTACTTGAAATGTTATTATCTAACATACAAGTTGGTTAATTATGTATATTGCCATTTGAAAATATAAAGTTAATACACTTACAAGGTATAAGGGATGAATCTAAAACGAACCTAATAATGAATTAATTGAGAATAATATGTAATTGATAGTACCCAACATTTTTTTTACGAGCAATCACGTGGTTTACAATTCACGGATCACTCCGTATTTTAATAAAAATAAAAGTAGAAGATAGGGAAGGGGTTAGATTAAATGTATTGGGTCACTTATCCATATTTCTTAATATTACATGAATATAGTACATGCCTTACAATTACATGTACCTTGATATCCAGATGGACTCTTTGATTAATGATGAATTGTGAAGTTCTTTGTCTACGTAAATATATTTATTAAATAAATATAACATTGATACGAAAGATAGCAAACTAAATTTTTTTCCATGGTTTGAGTTAGTTATTTTAACAAATATGAAAGACTTATGTCAATCTACAATCTAAAATTGATTAGAGTAACGTGGATTTTACATTATTCACTTTGAAATGAAAAAATGAGAAAATGGGAGAATAACGAGCTGTTGTGCTAATTTTCCTAGCCCATTTATATTAAACTTGTGGGTAAAATAATAATAAGAAGCCAGTTTTTTTAAAAATTTAACTATTGTACCCTGCTATTTGTGCGGTGCCACAAATATGCTTATGGTAATTAAAAATATTGACATTAATATAAACATTGCTCGGAATGACCAATATAGTCGTAAATAGTAATAAAATAATTGTTGTTCAGAAAAGTAATTAAAATTGATGATTATTTATGTGGAAAAATTATTCTATAGATTTCTCGAATATTCTCGACATTTCTATTTTATTTTATTACAGTATACATTTAAATATTTCAAGTTGATGTTCTGTGTTACAACAAAAAGTTATCAACATTTTTTTAGTATTTATAAAAAATTGTATTATTGAATATTTCAATTATACAATTTTGAAGTAATATTATGTAAGCAAGGTAAATGGTTGTTTAATTTTAAAATAAGTTTTCGTGAGATGATCACTTAATTGTTTTATTGAAATTAACATTCATAATAAAATAAGAAGCATAATCGAAATATTAGCTTCGATGCGAAGCGGAGAAGGTATTAATTTTACTATGATGTGTTTTTTTTTTTTTTATGTCTGTTGCCACTTTTTCTCAGCTCTCACTGGACCGATTTCTTTCAAAAATACGTCAAAAGATCACAAATCGTATCTAGTTGAAGACATTACCCTTAAAAATTGAAAAAAATTCCCTCGTTCCCCGCAAATGGGGGAAATATCCAAAAAAATTACAAATTTAAAAATCGCTAATTTTCGAAATTTTTTCACTTTTTTTTCTTAAAACTTCCATAACTTTTTGAAAAATCAACAAATCAACATAATTTTTTTTTATACTAAAACCTTAGATATTTACCTTTCATTTGATATCATTTTTTTGAAAATCTATCACTTAACCTGCTCATTAGGGGGGATTTAAAATAGCAACTTTTTTACAAAATTAACTTTTTCAACTTAATTTTTGGAAATGTTCCGGAAATACTGCGTCTTTTAAACATATATCAAATTAATGCTTATTTTATGTACTATAAAATGAAAAAAAAAAATTTATCCCGACACTTTTTCTTCTACATTTAAACGTCTGCCGTAGTTCAAAAAACACTATTTTTGTATTAAAATTTTCAACTTAAAAATGCTATAACTTTTTGATAAATGAATATATCAGCACAAATTTATTTTTAACACGCTTATATTAGTTTCACATATCATTTGACATACTTTTTATTAAAATTGGACAATTTCCCCTTATATAGGGGGCGTTCAAAACTTAAAATATTGTAAAAAACATAGATCTTTTTCAACTGAACTTTTGAAAATGTTCCGGAAATACTGCGTCCTTTAAACATATATCAAATCAAAGGTTATGTTATATACTATCAAATGAAAAAAAAAAATTT